CAAGACTTCAAACTACTCAATTTAATGAGGAACAAAAGTCATAAGCTGTCTTCGATAGCAAGAACAACTACTACGGAGAGTTTCACTGATGAAAGTGGTGAAACAACACAAGACGGGTCTTTTGCCGCAAGCACTGAAGTAAATGATGATTCTGATAATCAGATATTTCCTGATTGTGGAAAAATCTCTAAGACATTTAACTTCAAAATTAAAGGTGAGTATATAATTTAAGACCCAGGTATATCCTAAAATTGTGACGATAATCACCGAGAAACAAGCTCTAAGTAGAACTGCGATCTTTAAGTGAAATGTATCACGCCTTTGATTAGCAGTACTGTTGAATTTGACATTACTTACGTAAATACCAAATCTAATGTTTCTTCTTTGTATTTTTGAGAGGATATGTCCTTAACAATATAATTAATTAGTCATCAACTATCAGTAACGAATATATTTTCCTTGTAACAGGTAAACAGATCGGGGACGCTGTAAATGGGTCACATCCTTGGCTAGGGCTGATCGTGTCCACTCGCAAGCAGACGGTAGTGCAGTGCTACGCGACCCTCATACATCCACGGGCCGCTGTTACTGCTGCCGAATGCGTATACAGGTATTCTATCGTTGTGCTACGCCTTCACGTCTCTTTACCGTAACAAGCGCTAAACAAGCGCAACTTTATACAGAAGCGAGCAGGGATATACATATAACACCCGCTTTATACTAGTTCTATTATGGAATTCATCTATCAAAAGGGAAGCCTATTGCCATTTCTATACGTCGGGCACAATCTCAACGAGAGACGGCACTGTTGGTACTTGGTACAGTGGCTGGGCAACCGGCTGCCGCGCAACGTGTCACGGGTTCGATTCCGGCACGGAGCAACTCTTTGTGTGATCCACAAATTGTTGTTTCAGGTCTAGGTGTCATGTGTATTGTGTATGGAAGAAAATTCTAGTGTGAAGCAACGTTTTTTTGTTTAAAAAAATCTAGATTCTGTACAACTGCCATTTTCTAAGAAGCCCAAAAAGCAATAATATTTAGCCAACTTACGAATTGAACCTGAGACCTCTTGCGTAGCAGTCGTGTTTGTAATCACTTAATTAACAAAACAACGATTGATGCGTCGTTTCTGTGTTTTTTTTTTTATTTGTGTGTGTGCCTATTACGAACAGACGCAAGTGCCTGTGAGCTTAAAATAAATCAGACAATACAGTCAAAGTCCATGTTGCGGTCTAGAGGAATTTTTACTAGAATTTTATTTAGATGACTAAACTAAAACTGAGGCATCAAAATATTCTTATTTAAATTGAACTTTCAAAACTCATGAATCATAAAATAAATGTGTGTACAATAAAGAGAACACAATCTTTCATTATGTTGTATGCAAGTTAGAAATTATAAAGTTATAAGATTGATGAATTGTAATATCTGATCTGATTAGTTATTAACACACATACACAAGAGATACCTTTGATAACTCACCGTATCCTAATGCAGGTATAATCACATAAAACCGGGGCCACAAGTTCAATAACCCTTGCTCTCTCTCCAGGAGTGCCCCCGGGGACTTCATACTAATCGCTGGACTCTGGAACCTCAACGCGAGGGTGGCGTCAAGAAGCCGAGTCATTTCCTACCACATACATCCCCAGTACAAACATGATGAAATCAAAAATAACTTGGCTATTTTGGTAAGTCATAGTCATTTACATTAAATCTATGAATTAGGTGACGACTGACATATTTTTAACGAGTTCCAATGTTTTTGAAGAGCTTAGAACTTTGACTGTCTATTAAAAATTGTAGAAAGCAAATCCATCGCTAAAGAAGTGCCCACTATAACCAACGTGTTAATTTGTGTTTTATTATTGAGTCATCACTTTAGATACCTTTTTTTGTTTCAGCACTGGAAGCGATCCTTTAAACTTGGTCCAAACATCCATCCGGTGTGTCTCGACGCTCCACGCTTGGGCGATGATTGCATTTTCATTGGATGGGGCGGATTTGATCAAGGTACGTATTGATATAAACCTAATACTATGTTGTTTCCTTTTTAATAAAATGATTGCTAAATGCATGAAGTTTACACCGCACGGGTGATCGAATTCCGTGCAGCACGTATGCATGCCGGGTTCGATCCCGTACGGAATGAATTGTAGTTCTAAGTGAAATTTTATATGAGTTTATTTGTCAATTTAATTGTAACAGCATGTGTTGGTTACAGATTACACATAACTACCTAATGCTTCGTGCAATATTGATATACTTATGTTATGAACCCTAGGCATTATGAACTCGATATTAATAAAAGGCCCTCCTATATCTAAAGCTTCGTGTCCTTGCTATTACAGCGATGCGTCCGAAGTCTCGTTGGCAGCGCGCCTCGCTGCACTCGTGCAACGGACGGCTGTCCCTCAAGGGTATCAACATACCAAACAACGCTTTGTGTGCTTCCGTACAGGCGCGTGGTACTGTGGTAAGTAGACAACTGTTCACTTTAGGTATAAAGAGTAATCTAGACACGATAGGTTGATATGATTGGGAATGAGTAACAAGTTTCTTACTGCTCGAAACTGTGATGAGAGATCCATGAGTACCTCGAATGTCAACCATCCTCGACGAAGCAAAGCGCTACACTGACAACTACAAAGAACGTTTAATAACTCACCATAACCCGCTATCCAGCTTGCTCTTGTCGCGGAGAACCTAACGAGTAACCGGGGCTCCGGCTTGACGTGCAGGAGAAGGAACGGGGTGGTTTTTAGTCAGTAAGAGTCTGACACTCCCTTCCGCCTCACCCAGGCGGGAGCAGTCATTCGATGATTTTCCCCCCTTAAAAAAAAAAATCCAGCTTGCTCTTGCACCCTAACCAGATTAAAAGACTCAAGAGAGCAAACGTGCTGCCTTAATATGGGCAGAATGAGCAATGGCTCTGCCTCACTTAATCTTATCATCATCATCCAACTCACCTGATTTCAGTCGACTGATCGCAGGTTTATATATACATAACAAAAAAGTTTCTTACTGTGCTTTTCTTAATTTGTAATACGAAACCTGGATATTACTTAGTCAACAAATTATTCAAACAAAAACCTACTTCAGACTTCAGTGTTGCGGATATAGGGCGATACGTTACTAATACTATGGCCCGACTCGAATAAGAAGTTGGAACGGGGTGGTTTTTAGTTGGCGCGGTGGCTGGGCAACTGGCTGCCGTGCAACGTGCTACGCTACGGGTTCGATTCCCGCACGGAACGACTCTATGTGTGATCCACAGATTGTTATTTTGGGTCTGGATGTGATATGTATGTTTATAAACACACTCGACACAGGAGAAAATCCTAGTGGGGTTAAAAAAATCTCCCTCACGCATTACCCACGGCGGGAGGAGTCACATGACCATTCCTCCTCCTTATAAAATAAACTCCCAATTTTTATTGCTGATACGATAATGTAGTCTAGTAATCATTATTTTTCACAGACCGGAGTGGGCGGTTCCCTGATATGCAACAAGCACGGTCGCCAGGCGGCGGTAGCGGTGGCAGTGTCCCGCGACAGTACACTGGTACTATTACCTGTACGGGACTGGGTGCAGCGAGCCATCGCTGTACTGGACGACTAGGTATAAGAGGTCAGTACTGTACAAATATGTACGGTCAAAGGTCAAAAGTCCACTGTAAGACTGCTATCGGTTGCGCTGCAGCGCTTATACACACATACACACGCATATTTTTATCCGTGTGCGTACGCGTGCGTGTGCACGCGTTTTTATGCACATTAATATGAAATTACTTACGCCTTGCCGTGTGAGCATCACTCAAGGTGGTAGTGGACTTTTGACCGTTGACTGTACATATAACTGTGTTTTTGTAGCCACTACACACTATAGCTATCTCACTAGCAGATTTAATTGCCGAATTAACTAAACATAACGAGTTACTCACGTAGATATACTGAGAAAACTCTACTAGTTTCGAGTCACAGAGAGACTCTTCCTCATGAGCAGCGAGCACGGTCGCGGAGATGTCGCGCAGCTTACTTTTACAGTTATTATAAAGATATTGATTACTACATTCTTGGTTATATCATGCTCACTTTTTGATTTATAATAATTGTATCGTTTTATATTGACATACGTATTTACGTGTTATATTATAAATATTTAGCATCCAAAAAAGTTTCAGCATCTACAGACTCCTATAAAAAGCTAAATAAACTCTTGCTTAGTACTTATGAAAGGTTTAAGAAAACAACAATATTGGCATTTTAAACATTTATTTATTTCATGTTCTTAGTTTACATAATATATGAGCCCAGCCATATAACGATAACTTAACAATTTCATGAGACTGGTCAAATAAGATGACGCGGCACTAAACGTTCTATAGGAACTAAAGTAAAAACACTACACACATTGGGAATGTCGAGATCCATTATAATGTAACAACAGCGTAGATGTTAATATCTCTTTACGTTGTACTTCTATTCTTTGGTGCCGAATTATTATAATGAAATGAGAATTGTTCATGTTACCTACAACGATTCCGATATGCCCGGAAACTTAAAACTTATGTCTTTACGTATCATAAACATAATTTAACAAGTCTTACCATTTACAGCCCGTCGGTCGCGCTGCGCACGTTCCCCTGGCACTCTATCATTGTCACTAATTCGGCTAAACATCACCCACTGCCAGGGAAACGCACGCAGCGATCATAAAACTAAAATAATATAATTTGATTCTGAATAACATAATAATACTCGGGGCATTTCAAATAGAAAATAATAATAATAATAATCATAAATCTGTCGATGCGCTCTATCGATGTCTCAATCGCGGTGAAGCAATTCAATTCGACTACTGTAACTAACATAATTTTACAACCACAAGCAGATTAAAAATTTGCTTTAAAACGTGCAAGTTTTCTTTATGAAAAAATAAATACTATTTTTTTGACAAGATCACGGTTACATCACATTAGTCGGCGCGGGCGCGGAGCTCACGCGATCACGAGCGGCTCGTCGTCCGAGAACCCGTGGATGGGAGGCACGTCGTCGTCGTCTGGAACAACATTGTATTTGTAAGCAAAACACGAGTATTTTTTTAATTAAACTTTTCACTTCACCCAATCATTTGTGTAATTTAATGTACGTACCATTTTCGCCAATGATGGCCTGTCCCCGCCTGCTGTCGTAGCGCGGCGTGTGCGCAGTGAACCTGAGGAAGGACCGCGCGAGGCGGCGGTGCCTGAGCGCCACGTGGAGTAGGGCTCCGCCCAGCACGATGCACACCAGCAGGGCTCCGCCCCAGCCCCACCACATGGCGCGAAGGGCTGATGGTTCATCTATTTCTGATCCTGTGTAAAAATATTACGTAATCATTAGGCATTCTATATCAAAGAGCAAAAACTAACACGAGATACGGTGTAAACTGGTATGAAATGTAGGGTACTTCACATTTTATCCTTTCTCTGTCCATTCTAATATTATTAATCTTAATTACATTCAACCTTATCACGGGAAGAAAATAATAACATTAATGTCTTTCCATCTCGTTCCCAACAAAGGAAATCAATTTCATCCACTCCCAATCCAATCCGATCTTACGTTATCATGCCGATCCGGTCCCAATACCAGTGTCTGTCCCAGTCCTAGTCCCACTCTCGCTCCTAGTCCCATTCGTAGTCCGTTCCCAGTTCCACTCCTAATCCCACCCCCAGTCCCAATCGCTAGTCCCTCTCCTAATACCATTATTAGTCCCAATCTCTCATCTCTATTCACATCACTCCTAATCGCAATCTAGTCCCTGGAATCAGGTCTAGCCCCACTCCTGGTTTAAAATATACAGCTTATACTTGAAAAAGTATTGTGATCTATGGTACACCAAAGTTCACAGTACCTATTCAAACGAAATATTATTAATAGAGTTTATTAGCCTCACCCTCCATAGTGAGCGTGTGCACCTCGCTGAGGTCGCTGTAGTACCCGTCCGCGGTGACGAGCCGCACGCCCACGTACAGCGGGCCCGACACGTCGTCAGGCGCCGTCAGCAAGCACGGCGACATCTCCGCCTTCATCGTCTTCATGTCTTCCGTCGGCTGCAGCAAGTCCTCCGGGATCTCCTTCTTAGATATTATCACTTCGTACTCGTGCCTGTGGACAAGTCAAGTCTTACTTTTTGTTCCTCTTCTTCTATCAGTTAAACGAGTACTTTTCGCTAGTTATGTTGTTAATCAAATACGTAAGTAAGAATCTGAAGAAGAATAACAATACCCTAACAGTTATTCTTAGGGGATCTCAAAGGGTTTTTGGTGAATATGATTCTAGTACCTATTATATTACTAAGAATGGCATAAATCAATAATGAAACAATACAATAAATGCACAATCAATAAAGAAACTAAATCAAGAATAGAATGCATGTATTGTAGGTCAATATGCATAAGGTAGTAAGTGATTGGGGAGGCCTATGTTCAGTAATGGCTGAATATGATGACGATGATGAAGATCAATAAAGAAACAATAAGTAAGGTCCCGTACTGGTGCAGCGGGCGGTCGTCCCAGCTGACCATGACGTGTCCGTTGGGCGCCAGCCAGGCGAGCACCTCGCTGGGCGGCTGCAGGCGCTGGCCGCGCACCGCGCGACACGTGGCCGCCGCGCCCGGGACCGTCACCTGCGGATACCATACACAATTCATTATGTTTCAAGACTTGCCCACGTAACGAAATAACTTCACTAATTTCGACGAGATTACTTGACGTATTTTAGTTGAGTAACGCGTATTTTGTAGCTCTATCTCGCTTCAATTTTGGGACCGAAGCGAGAGAACCCCTAAATACTCGCTTCTCGAATATACTATACTAGCGTAATTGCGAACAAGCCATAGGGCACGAATATATGAGCCAAAACATGGCGTGGCAAATGTCTTTTGTATTGTATATTTTCTCATTACTTATCATTCTCAATTTAACTTCCAACATATATTCCTTTTCTTATTCTTACTATTTATTATTGCATTTTTTACCACAACTCTTTTCCAAATAAACACGATTAAAACTAAATGATTGCAATAACTATAAAATAATGAGAAAATAAACAATGCAAGAATTTACTATTTGTACTTTTATGAAAAGAATAAAGTAACACGACATAGGTATTTACGTGAAACAAAACTCAAGCAACAAATTTTACCTATATTATTTGTCGGAATTATAATAAGAATATTATTCTACTTACATGTATGCAGATGTTATATCTCCCACCGATGGGTACATCGACGATGGTGTGCGAGTAACTCGACTGTCGCGACAGAGCGAGCTCGTAGTGACTCTTGCGATTATGTGTCAATTCTGTCACGTCCAGCTGTGACAAGATTACTCGATATAAATATACGATACTCAATAATAAAGCTTAATTCTAATGTTATAAGGTTAAAATTTCAGTGTTAAATTTCCATGCTCTTATTTATTAAACCACAATCATACATATAATTCGTTTCACAGGTTTACAATGTTAGTAGTTGATGGTATAATTAGGTATTTGAATACTTCAATTGTAAGTTGTACTTGAAACATCGTGCCATTTCTGTCTTTTTACAAAGAATTTGTAGTGACAGAACTATACTTAAACGCGACTTAGAATTGAGTAGCGTTTGAGTGTTTGGACATGAGTGAACCTAACAACATACCATAACATGCTGGTACATCTAAAAATGAAACCGGCTAGACCGATTTCTTTCTGTATATACTGCCTCGTTGGCCGAGTGGTCGCAAGTGCGACTACCGGGCCGGGTCTCGGGTTCGATTCCCGGGTCGGGCAAAGTATTACTGGGTTATTTAAGAAAACTCAATAGTAGCACGAAGTCTGGAATTGTGCCCGGTATATTGCAATAGGCTCACCCCCTATTACATAGGACTCATAACTTAAATAGTGAAAAGTGGGTGTTACGTTGTATAATGGCATTAACTGCCGTAATATGCACATCTGCCTACCCCTTCAGGGATAAAAGGCGTGAAGTAATAATGTTAAGGTACTTATGATAGAAAAAAAATCCTAAAAATCCTACAGGAACGGGGAAATTGGGATTGCGAGTACGAAGTCGCGGGCAGAAGCTAGTACTTACATAATATACGCGAAGTTCTAACAAATTCGGTAAGTACACATAATATTCATTTAAAATCATTAATATTATCCTTACCGTGTAAGTGGTAGGTGTTCTAAAAGCGTTACAGTGAGCGTCCCATAAGATCTTCATCTGCTGCTTGTCCTCATCGTATTCAACGTGCAAGTTCTTCACAGGAGCCCTTATAACAAAAAATAGTCGTGAATTATTACATTTTGTAGTTTGTAGTAAAAACAAGTGTAATCATAATTGTGTATTACTTGTGTTATAGTTTGTTTTACGTTTAGAGTAATCGAAACGAGACCGCCTTCGGTGCTCTGATTGGCTGGTTTATTGGAGCCGGCCAATCAGAGCAAATATCTCTCGCTGAACCCGTTTCGATTACTTGTAACGTAAAACAAACTCGCACTAAGTCATCTGGTGTACTTAAATATAAGCTTAAATAACAAACAAAAATCTTTGAATTCTGATTAGTCATAGTTTACCACAATGACCATTATCGTCTAACGCTATACAGACTGTCTTACCTATACACACATACGCATAATAAACAGAAGGTCGTAAGTAAGACTAATATTGTTATTCCATTGTTTTGTTAGATTACTAGACTAGTCAATTTCTAGCTTCTTCAAATGGGCAAAAACACAGTTGTTTCCAGTTCAATTTGTATAGAAGTAAGACTGATACTTACATGTCGTTCTCGCGTGTGATGATTCCCTTGAACATGCTGAGTGGTCCCCCCCGTATTCCGACGGTGAAAATGTACGTCTCGCACGCGTGCAAACCTTCTATAAGCACGCTCGTGTTCTTTGTTATAATGCGAGTATCTGTGGAACATAACATCGTCTTAGCCTTAAGAACATCTGATTACCTAAAGTTCTTAGGAAAAATAACTAATTATATTGGCAGTCACGCAGTAACATGGTTGTGATTTCCGAGGCCTCTTAGTACGAGTTTAATTTACGTTTAAAGTAATCGTAACGAGTACGCGTTCGGCGCTATGATTGGTTGCTTCATTGACGCCGGCCAATCAGAGCGCCGAACGCGTCCTCGTTACGTACATACTTTAAACGTAATATATATACATACTTTAAACGTAAATCAAACTCGTAAGTACTAAGGCCTCAGAGTGCCAAGCACGAATAACTATCGCATTCGTATCGTAACAGTATCGAGCGAGTTAAGCGTTCTGATTGGTTGGTTCACTTGAGCCGGCCAATCAGAGCGCCGAACGCGCTCGATACTATTACGTTACGAATGCGATAGTTATTCGTGCTTGGGCGTCTGAACAAGAAACTTCGAGCGAACATTCCAGTGGTATAATGTATATATATCGCAGTAAAATGTTTTTTCGGCTTTTCGGAATTTCAAAGATTCTCAATAGGCACGGAGTGAAATCATAACCAGTAAAAGTTTTAACATATTGATGAAAGGCATATTTTTTGATCTTATAATACAAGTCTTAAGTTTAGAAAAAATAAGTAGCTGGTAGCTATAAAGAAACCTCTTAGAACATTACAGATTTATTAGACACTTACCATTAGACATTTCTCCAGGGGTGGTAGTCCTATGAATCATATTGGTATAATGGACTTCATACTCCAGTTCTTTATCTTTATACCTGTCCCCAGTGGGTGGACTCCAAGATACATAGACAGAAGTTCTCCGTTCCTTGGACAGTATAGCTGTGAAGTTCAATACCTCATCCGGGGTGCCTTCAGTACGGAATGGAATGGTGAATGGATCGCCGTACACTTTGTTCTTGTAGGCCTTTATATCAATGTATGTTAGGACTCCAGGTGGCAGGTTCGTCACTGTAGATAATATAAGTTAGTATTAATACTCCAGTTGTTATAGAAGCAACTAATATACAGATGAGGGTTTCCCAAACTATGTTCGCGACCCATTGGTGGGTCGCAAGCGAATTTTTTGTGGGCCTTGTCTGTAGAATGGCGCAATAACCAACCGTTCTGTATTTTGGTTTTCATATTGTTAACGGTTTAACCTCTTGTCTGTCGATATATGAGACACAATAGAAAATACATTGTCTCGCGCAGGTCTGCGTTCCGACAGTTGACGGGTTAATTCGCTGAACGTGGATCTGAAGTTTTGTAACTTGATTAAGATAGGTCGTAGTCGAGACAACTTTGGGAACCACAGATATAGATAGGTTGATATCGAAACCCTTATTACATACAAATAAATAAATGAAAATAGCCATACGGTGACAGCAGAGTAGAATTTATTTTCCCACATATATCGTAGGAGCCGACCAAGGGACAGCAGCGTTTTCTGATAAACTTTATACTTTCAAACTGCAGTCTCCAACCCAACCAAGCAGTGGAAGTCATGGCAAACACCTCTTTAACAAAGATCTATAAATAAAAAAGATCCAACTTACATGTAACATTAGTAGCCTCAGTAACGATGGGGTCTAGCATCGCGTACTCTGGCGGTAGTCGTACTCTGACAACGTATCCGTCGACGTTCCTTATTTGATGCCAGTCGAGTCTCACGGAGCTCGCATTGAGTCGCGTCAAACTGGCGTTGACGAGGTCATCTACATCGTTGACCGGGTCAAACGTTATGTTCATCACTTGGGACGATGTAGATGTGAATGCGTTGTTTGTTGCTGTCACCTAGGCAGGTAGAAATAAGGGTCATATTTCAATAAAATTGTGTGTTGTAAAATATTGCTGTAATATTTGTAACTGTAATCAAAATAGCGTAAAAGTGACATTAAACAACAATTGTTTTGATTAAAAATCGTGTAATTATAATGAAATTTTAATCAGTTATACTCAAGTCAACACAGGCAATGCGAGAAAACAGTATTTATGATTTATTCCAATTCTAAGTACAACCATATGTGCCTACTATTGGGCGCTACAGTCGGCTACAGACGACAAACAAAATCTGGACCAATCCATCACTGTCGAATATAGCCAACAAGGAAGCGCATTTTTTAAATTCATTTTTTGTCATCTGGTCATGGCGTTCATAAGGCTTCATGCTTCATTAGATTAACAGCCTATAATATAGAATAGAACAAGACTTACCCAGAAGGAATAGTTATTGAAAGGTTTAAAGAACCCGGTGACGTCTACAGACATGGTCTTCTGATCCGTGGCTGGGATGAGCTTGGCGACGGGCGGCAGTGGAGGCGCGTAGTACAGGGTGTAGGACTGGATGGCGCCGCGCGGGGACACTGGCCGGTCCCACACTACGTTGATACGGTGACCGATCAACTGACGGACACTTAGACGAATTGGTGGTGACGGTACTGGAAAATAAAGTTATTTGAAACCTTAATGTTAAATTTAAACTTCTTTTTTATAAGAAGGAATTGTTGAAATTACGAAGAAAATTTTCTACAATCCTTTATCTGGAGGAATGCTGGACCCTTTTTCTGAAGAATCAATACTAATGTCACTGAAGTGATTAAAAAGCATGGTATCTTAGTAATATCAATCACTAACACCTCATATCTCTTTACAAAAATCCTAAGAAAACTGAAAAGGGCACAAAATAATTACATTTTTTTAATAAGTAAGTATAACTTACCTCCTTCTCCAGTGGTGGTGTTTACATACTTCATGGATGCATAAGTTCTGTTGGACTTGCTGTCTTTGATGTAGAAAGTCACATTGTAGTTAGTGTAAGGCTCCAGATCAGTAAACCTAAGGAGAGATAAAAAGAGATAAGATTGAAGTGTGGGAGTGCCATGCTTCAGCACGAATGGGCCGGCTCGACCGGAGTGATACCACGGCCTCAAAGAAAACCGACGTGAAACAACGCTTGCGCTGTTTCGTCGTGTGAGTGAAGTTACAGGTGGCCAAATTACCCCACCCCCCCCCCTCCCTAGTCTCCCCGATCCCCGAATCCTCCACAAGGAACTATACAGTTGCCCAACCACCGCACCAACCGACCATGCATTTAAAAATTGAGAAGCGTTTGAGTATTTGGACATTATTCGTTAAAATAGTAAAGTTACATTTAGATAAAATCTGCATTTGAACTGAATTGAACTCTGCGCTTATCTTCACTCAGTAGATATACTATGAAGGTCAATGGCAAAGTCGAATCTGACCGCGAACCCTTTGGAAGTCGACTAGTCAGATGAATAATATAATAAACTCACATTATTTCAATACACTTGACTTAAAAGTAGAGACTAATAAAAATATTGTGATTTTATCCCAACAATGCCAACTTCCTAAAAAGAGGTTTTCCATAATTTTCACATTTGGCAGGTAGATTATAGATAGATTGCAGTTTAAAAGTATCATGTTTATCAGAGAACACTGTTGCCCTGTTAAATAATGATGTAAAGATTTTTCAAAACCCCCAAAAAATAGGGATGATGACATAATATATGTTACTCTGTTGTCAACATACGACTAACAAATATTGTTGTAAATACCTGTAAATGCTGTCGTTGGTCCAAGTCTTGTTGAGCCACACTCCGTCGCTGACTTTAGAGATGGAAGGCAGGAAGCTATACAGCACCATCTTCTGCTGCGCCATCCAACACGAGATAAGGAAACTAGTCGAGTTTATTGAAGACTGGTCCACGCCAATGCTCAGGAACTGTACAAACAATCGTGGAGTTTTATTATAATTCTCGTGAGACTGTAGGTATAAATATGTAAGAGAAAGCACACTTGTCTAAGCCGACCGAGTCGAACGAGGCGCACAAAACGAATTTTAGAATTCTGTATATGAAATCTCATGGTACCTCGCACACTTCTGAATCGGACGATTCGACGCGTTCGATGCAGATAACTATGCGTCCACCTTAACGGCTTGCTCAATTTCAGTTTACTTAGTTTCAAGTCATCAAGCTAGGGACTCATTCATTTAACAATATTGAGCGACACACGACACAGTGAACGTCGCGAGATTTTGAACTAGGAGCTCAAAATCAATCAAAAAATAGAATTATGATCAATCTACGTGACTCAACTAGCCCAGTTACCTCGTCAAATGGCTACGTATTCAAATTCAACCATATATTCATTCACCAGAGTTTACCAGCTTTCTATGGTATGTTTACCATCATCAACATCATAAAAAAATACACCTTAACTTATCCCAGGAATCGCACTGTACTCAGATGTAACGAATAGATACAATTCTGATGTAAGATATGCCATTAAATATACCCCAATTCTATTTAACTAGATTGTATTGTCACCGTGAGTAATATGAAGTAGTTGGAAATGTGTAACTAACCTGGTAGACATGAGTATTGTCGTTAAGGTCGCTGGTACAGTTGAGTTCGTCGCTGCCGTCGTAGCAGTCCTGTCGTCCGTTGCAGACGCTGACCTGCGGCACGCAGTTGGTTCCGTCGTCACACATCAAGTAGCCGCGCTCACATTCCACTGTTGGCTTGCGAGTCTGGAAAATAAAATTGTATTCATAAACTACAACGTACAAACTTATCCTTCATTTGTTAATAATAATGAATTTATCCTTTATTTTTTGTAAGTAATACACAGATTTACTAAAGAAAATGGAAACGATGAAAGTCTAACAAGGCCTACTGTATTGTTGTTCACTAGATGTCGCTAGTGTAAACCTCTCGTTCTTCGTCCAATCAGGAATTACCTCGTGTCACAACATTGGATATTCAATATTTGACAGCTACTGTAATTGGACAAAAAACCTGTTGCTACGTTTGTGCCATTCGGTGAGCAAAAATACGGTAGCCCCCATTGTGTTATCTATTAATAGTCAATGTGGTTGTGTAATACCAAATTCTGCTGGTTTGCAAACAAAGTACTCAGTGTCTCGGATTACATACAGATTAAAACTTACTGAAACTTCAGTGAGTTTTCAGTTTACTTATTTTAGTATCATTATCATATCAGCTACAAAACGTCGACTGCTGAAGACTGACCCAATGACTGTCAGATAGATCGGTTGGGACAGATCTGCTGCACCCAGTGAACTTAATGGAGGATACAGTTTTTTTTGTCGCTCACCAGATAGCCCTATTTTGCAGAAAGTATTTTTGTCCAGTCACTGCAGCTGTCAAAACTGTAACGTCCAATGGTGTGACACTAACTAATTCCCTAATTTCGACGGTTCATTAAACTGCCGTCACCACTGGACACTGGCAGTATAGTCGACAAGATCATTTTAGAGACTCGTTTGCCAAAGAGCAAAAATACAGTTTGTCCATAAATATAACAGCAGGAAGTGACTTACAGAAGTGCCAGGACAGTTCATCTCGTCGCTCTTGTCGTCGCAGTGGAAGACGCCGTCACAGAGTTGTTCGGTGAGCACGCAGGCGGCGCCGTCCCGGCACGGCGTGCGGTCGCGGGCGCAGCGCGGCGGCGGCGCGCTGTGGCCGCGGCACGACTGCTCGTCCGACCCGTCCTCGCAGTCCGCCGCCCCGTCGCACACCCAGCTCAGCGGGATGCAGCGACCTGCCGCGGTATACTCCAACATTACTATCATACATTGGCCGAATTTTAAAGGATACATTTTTTTTCCAAAATGCTATAAAAATTTACATTACTGTGCCTTTGGCGCCAAAAGTACTTTTTACAAAAAAGCTGTTTAAATATAAATTATGGGAAATTGGAAGTCGTTTTATTTTATACTTAAGGTTTTCTCGTAAAATGCACAGGAAAAGAAATATTTCAAAAAACTGTTTTTAGCTGCCATTTTTCTAAGATGGCAGCGCAAGTAGCGCACGTACTAGCACGCACGTGTTTTGAAAATCTATAAAGTTGCAAATTTTCAAAACTCCCGGAAAACATTCCAGGTATAAATGACTGAACTAGTAATCTAAGTAAAGCAAAGTAATATGTAATAAATTAATTATTGTCATATTAAGAATTCGATTGTTCCATTTCTTATGTGGACGTTCTTAATAGGTTATAGCGGCTTGTAGATAGATGTCAAAATTAGTTTCATATTTGAGGCGATTATAATATAAACAGAAACAAGTTAACCAACATACCCGGTGCACAAGTGAAGTCATTCTTCCCACACCTCTTAATAACCGGAGTATGGTCACGGATGACTGGGACCAACTCAGATGGTGGCATGTCAAATCCACAGCCGGTCTCGTCCGACTTGTCTCCGCAATCATCGATACCATCACATCTCCACCAGTCTGGCATACAGTTTCCATTGTCACACTTAAACATCCACTGTAAACACCTCTCATTGCTAGAGAAATTAGGCTTTTCTGTGCCAGGGATAGGGAGCAATTTAGAATGCTGGGAACTTGAACAGTTCTTCTCGTCTGAAGAGTGCTCGTCGCCGCAGTCGTTTTCACCGTCGCAGACCTAGATAAAACATAATCATGTTAAGAAGTACAGAAATTGTTCTCATTTAAAAATAGTTACTGACTGCCTCGTCGGCTGAGTGGTCGCAAGTACGACTGCCGGACAAGGGGTCTCGGGTTCGATTCCCGGGTCGGGCAAAGTATTACTGGGTTTTTAAAAATCTCAGTAGTAGCACGGAGTCTGGAAATGTGCCCGGTATATGGCAATAGGCTTACCCCCTATTACATGGGACTCATAACATAAATACTGAAAAGTGGGTGTTACATTGTACAGTGGTATAATGTGCACCTCTGCCTACCCCTTCGGGGATAAAAGGCGTGATGTTATGTTATGTTATGTGTTAAAAATAGTTACTTTTTATAGCAGACTTCACGCTGATATTATTTGAGGCCGTGGTTTCACTTGAATGCTTAACTTAGGATAATTAGGGCACAGTTTTGTTTGAAAAGAAAGTGTAGAGGTACAGCTGAATGAGATTTTACATACGTGTGCACGTTAAATGTTATTTAGAAAGTACGTAAGTAACTCACCCAAGATTTGAATATACATTTGCCGCTGGGACACCGGAACATGTAAGGGGCGCAGGTGGAGTCCTTGCACCGCTGTTCATTCTCATCCTCTCCGTTGTCACAATCCTTCTCCCCGTCGCACACCCACGAGTTAGGGATACACATACTGCTGTCATTACTGCACGCGAAACCGTTGCCAGAACAACTTTCCACTATTTCTGGACGTTTTGTTTGAATCTATTGAACAGTAATAATAAACATTGCTGCTATAATTAAAGTCTAAATAAAATATGTAAAGATTATTTGTAAAAAAACTTAATAATGATGTTAGTATATAAGTTTAAAAAAAAATAAATTATCCATATTCATTTGCTGTGTACAAAAAAATTTAGTAGAATTATTATAAAGAATTAAATTTTAATTTAATAATTATAAAGTCTTATAGTGGTACATAAATAAATCAATATTTCCAAAGTTTTTAGCTACGAAAATGTTGACCCAATTCTTATTAAAATACAGGGCCAGGGTTCACACGCGACTTAGTAACAGTATACTTTAATGACATACAATCATCATTTGACACTAACAGCACGGTGTCAGTATCACAATAAAAACTAAACACAACAATGTCGAAACTTGATAAATTACATTGTAATTACAATAAACTATGAATCATGTAAAATTATCTCATTAATTACTGGGAACTATCATGTGTTTTCCAACGAAAAAAATATCTTTACAAAACATTTTAGCATACATTTCAAACAAAATTATAAAATAAAGAACGTTACAATGAAAATAAATACACAAAAATGCGAAAAACATTAACAAAAAGTTTGTCAGAAGTGGGATTCGAACCCACGCCCTCAGAGAGGACCAGAACAACTCGAACCCACGTTTAGTGAGCAAGGGAACCTTGAGTCTGGCGCCTTAGACCGCTCGGCCATCCTGACAGATACGCAACACGGTGAAATTACCGACTAGTAGCCGAGCGCACGCTATTACATTTTTTTTAAATCGTTGTTCAGATAAATGGGAGCCGCTCTGTGAAATTTCTTTGTTGTATTGCTAAAATAATTTAATTAAAAAGTTAACAGGTATTGAGTTTTATTGTTTTTTCTTGTTGCGTGCCTGTTCCCTAGGTATTTACCAATATTAGAAATAGGAATGTTTGTGAGGAAAGCGCTAAAGGGGTCGGGGTGAAACACATAGGCTACATTTTATCCTTATTGGAGAACGCGACGAAGCCGATGGCAGAAGCCAGATGTACATATTTTTATAGGACAAGCAATCGGCGCCGCCCGTGGACACCCGCAATAATAGAGGACTTACAGTGCATTATCGGGCTTTTAAGGTTTGGGAATTTTGGGATTAAGGATGGGGGATGACGTAGGCCTTCTCAATGTATTAAGTTAAGCTTACCGTGCAGTTTCGTTCATCAGATCCATCCTTACAGTCGTTGTCTCCGTCACATAACCACCGCTTCTCAATACAGTGGCCATTGTCACATTGGAACTTGTTCTCCGAGCAATTACGGTGGCCGCAGTCTGAAATATAAATAAAACAATATTATAAACAAATATTATAAAAGCAATAAACTATAGGTATACTTTTTTAATAAAATAGATCCATTTTTCCCTTGGTCACGGAATCACGCGTGTATGACAGGACTGATTTCACTAATTCTTTTTTTTTGTTGTATTTGTTATTATTAGGTTCTTAAGACAGAAAAACTTAAAAATCCTACGGGAACGGGAGAGAACGGGTATGACGTGAATATTTTATATGTGTGTATTATCATTGTTCTTCGATGAAAAGAGATCACAGTTAACTATGGCTATTCTTGCTTCTATACCATCAATTATTTTTATACGCACACATTAGGATTTTCTCCTGTATCATGGATGTGTTTATAAACATATAAATTCACATCCATATCACACAAACAAAGAAATATTAAGAAACAATAATTTGTTTTAACACAAACTAGCTTCTGCCCGCGACTTCGTACGCGCAATCCCGATATTTCCCGTTCCCGTTCTTGATTTTCGGTAAAAAGTAAAAAAAAAAGAATTGGGTAAAAAGTATCCTATGTCCGTCTCCTGGTTCTAAGCTACCTCCGCACCAATTTTCATCCAAATCGATTTAGCCATTCTTGAGTTATAAATAGTGTAACTAACACGACTTTCTTTTATATATATAGATAGTTGATCCTCATAGATATCGTCCAACCACTCAAGCGTCAAGCGTCAAGCATCAGGCGTATAAAACAGCGTGTTTACACCCACAAATCAGAAGTAAACGAAAATGAGAGTACCTTTTTCATCACTCATATCAGCGCAATCAATGTCATCGTCGCACTTCCAGTGTGGCAGGTAGCATCGTGTATTGTCACACATGATCATCGGCGGCACACAGAGACAACCGATCTCATCGGACAGGTCTCCGCAATCATTGTTACCATCGCAACGAGAGAACGAGGATATACACTTCCCATTCTTGCATGTAAACTCCTCCTGAGGGTGGGAAATACATAAGTTATATGCAAATTGGGTATTTTCCTGGGTCAAAATTAAATTATTTTGTTTTTTCAATCCAATTAAATATTCAAAAATAATTACAATTTCATTCATATATTTGACGATATACTTAATTTTCGATTTATTCTAGCATTTTTTTTAGAAATAAGTGTGCTATTTGACTCTAAAATATGATGACGTCATAAGTTAGTTTTTGAGACAAAAATTCATAGAACAATATCGTTTTTGACGTGATAAAAGTATTTAATTTGATTAGTTGTAAAATACCGTATTGTTGAAAATTAGACGACAACAAATTAAATGTCTCAAAAACTCTATATATCTGATTAATTTTGAAATTCTAGGTACAATACAGAATCTAGATTTTTGATTGGTATAAATATCTATTTATATCGATAGGCTTATTACATGGAAGTTATAACAGTTAGTTAGAACACAACTGGGGTACTCCCCAGATACCCAGTACTGTGTAGTGTGTGCTACATTATGTTCTGAAATAATATCACATGGGATGGGACTATCACTAAATGTGTAGACCACGCGTGATACAACCATTTATCGTAAATTACCTATCTCCTTATCTCATCGTTATTTCTACATTATACAGAGCGAACCTACATTTTACACAATATAGGCACACGTCATACCTAGTTATTAACGTGTAATTTCAAACCCATGCTTGTAAACTGAAAACCCAGGAAGGAATATTTCATTGGAATTTGAATTTAGACATACCTAATATTGTTTACATTACAAAATACAAAAATAAATACCTACGTAGATAACACTAATCCCGGCCCTCACAATCAGCTTATTATGCTGACGTGAGTACATCGATAACATTGATAAAGGTATAAATCATAACAAAGAAATTCAATCAACACTATGATAACCTACAAAATAAGAGAACAATATGTACTTAATGAGAATGAACTTACCAGTCCACAAGTAGATACTTCTGTTTCGGGGCACGTCATGTTCGCGTAGGGCTCCGTGTTGTTGGAACACATGCACTTCCCACCAATCATAGTCAGGCCATCAGGACACAGGCAACTGAATGTATTGCCCGGCCCACCCAAACATATTGTGTCACAACTAGTGTTCTTGTACGAGCAGGCGTTACTACCGTACTGCACGAAGTGAGCGAACACCTTCAAGTCCATCAAACCGACGAACGAATCATTAATCGTCATCACATTCATTCCACTGTCCTTGTCGGCCACGAATATTGACTTCTCTTTCCAATCGTCCCAGTACATCTTGTCTTTCAGCACCGCTACAGCAAACGGATGTGTTACTCTCTGATCGTTCGAGAAAATCCGTTTAAAGTATTTGCCGTTCAAATCAGAGCTAGCGATGTAGTCCTCCATAGCATCCACCCAGTATATCCTCTCCGACATCTGATCGATCGTTATGCCATTTGGCCACTGGACTATTGGCTTGCCGAACAATTTCACAACGTCTTTACCGTCAAGGTTTGACCTAGAAACTGAGGGGTTGTTCCTGTCCCAGTCTGTCCAGAATAGAAAGCCTGCTTTTGGATGTACTGCAATACCGCGCGGTCGCGATAAGACTTTCGAATCCAAAATAGTGACTCTCATTCTGGTTTCCTTGATCATATCTATCCTTACAGCTTCAATCTTCTTCCTCAAGCCATCGACAAAGAACAGAACGTTAGAAATCCAATCAAAGGCCATCCCTTCTATGCTGGCGAGGTCTCTGTCAACGATTACTTCTTGTGTCGTGCCATTGTTGAAGCACTGACGACTGATCTTATCCAATTCTATGTCAGCCCAATAGATGCAGTTGTTCTTTATGTCAAATTCGATGGCAACGATGTTCCTTTCGTTCACCACGGGGTAAATAGTCGTGTTTTCAGAGAGATCAATGCGAGCTATTTTATTACCGAGGGCGACTAGCATGAATTCTGTTGGTTCTTCAAGAGGGCAGGGGATCAGATCAGGGACGTACGCCATATATCCTGAGACACTGCATACATCTCCATCGATCTTCCTATAACCTTTAGTGCGCCAGTAGAAGTGACCAGGCTGACAATCTGCAGGTACGGCATACGGATCGTATTTTGAGGATTTGTTGTGGATACATTCGTTGCCAGAGAGCATGAATCCGAAATCACATTCAAAATCTCTGCGACTGCATTCGCAAGTCTCCTTTTTGAATGGTCTGTCGTAATCTATTCCGTTGTAGCAGTTCGTGTGGGCGAGACGTCGCTGGAAAGTGTTTCTGGTACCGAGCACGCAGGAGACCGATGAATTAGGAGGCGAAGGAGACCAGTACTTGTAGTCGTCATCAGTGCAGTTGCGAGTGAAAGTATTTCGCAGATCGATTGTAATTATAATCCACTGATGTTGATCGTTTGCAGAGCCGAACATAGTAAACGTTGTCGTATTCTCTCCAGGCTCGGTCATTAGTCCGTAGATGCGCAGGTCATCGGCATTGAACCTACAAATTAATGTTGTTAATAACCACAAACAAATAATTAATTAAATATTGATAACATAACTGCAGCAGTGACTCACTGATAAGAGTTCCACTCGATGCCTTCGTTCGTCGAATACAGTATCTTTCTCGTTTCACCACGAGATTTAAAGTACTTGACAGCTACTAGAACACCGCCATGGTCACCATAGTTGAAGAAATAGTAGTCTTTGAGGATCCTCTTCCACGTGAGACCGGCGTCCCGACTGATGTACACGCCAGGTATTCCTTTCAGTGACTTGCCCATGACACCAGTGGCCATAATAATTCCTGGTGCTGATTTCGAGCTCATAATACTTGCTGACCTATAATAGACAACATATATTGACACCCTCTATCATGCTATGAAATATGATACACCAAACATTCACCAGATTCCCTCTGTGAACACTTACATCTTCAACAAATAACCAGCAAATATTACCATGCTCAAATCAAATACATATTAAAAATGATGTACTGAATCGAAGTCTACATTCTTCTACAATAAAATTATAAAACATCGAATAAAAACTATTGCCATTTAATAATGTTATTGACAAATGATGAATGAGTGGATGAAACCATAATGAAGCAAATATAACCACAAACTGTATAAACCAATGGACTGATTTAAATAAAATGGATAAACACATATGTTCGTGCTGTGCAAATTAAATAAAAAGCATAATTAAGTAACTATAATGCACTCTATTCGTGTCAGTTTACCTCAAACCGTTCGCAACCACATTTCCAGGTGGGCTGCAAGCAATTTTAATCTTTATCAGCATTTTTCTTATATGAAACACAATTATTATTACTATGTGAGTAATTTAACGGTTTAAGTAACAATAAATGTGATAACTTCCCAACATTTTGGTGAATATTGAAGCAAAGTTGGTGCTCTTATGGTATAAAATTGTATATAATAGAAGGGAGAGAGAGAGAGGTGATAAGGTAATGTATGACCGTTTTGACCCAACTACCAAGAAGGGTTATCTTCATAAAACATTAAGCACAGATGCGTTGTGACTTTGTATATTTACCTATTTCTAGCGGTTTCTAGCTCCTAGCTAATCACTACATTATGACTATTCTAGCATTTTTTCACCCTCTTTATTTCAACATTTTATACCGGTTCAAGATTAGTGTCTACTATATTACTACAAAATATAATAATATAGAACCCTCGAGTTATATATATAATAATGTTATAATAAGTATAGATAGGATATAGTTAACACCATATTATATAGAGTATATTACTTTAAAATACCATTATATATGTACGTATACTAACAAATTAATATTATAATGATGATTCCAACAGGACAACTAAAACTTTAACCAATATAAAAATCTAAATTCTTGTAAACTGTAATTATTTTATTTAAATAAATATAATAGGTCCCTTTCAGATAATTTCTTTGACGTATATAAACCCGCGATATTACCGCAGAACTTGGAATATTATGGTTATTACCTATATTAGTAAATTATAGGACGGCTGATGCTCCTTATAATACAAATTCCATATGTCGAATGATGAATCATCACCTAAAGTGCAAAGTATGGTGTATTATTGAGAAATAGACTACCTAGAGGTTTGATACTGTGGTCGTTGTGGTTAGTCAATACGTGACTAATGTTGTTTGTGTTTGAAGTCGTGATTATAAATTAAATAACACTAGGTAGTTGAGAAAATATTGATCTAAGAATCTGTAGGAAAATACCTAAATAACTGTGAACATTCGTTTTATAATAACTATGTATGTATTTGATACAGATCATCACGATTTATATCCACGGTCGGTTTATGTTGTAGTAAGGTATATATACTCGACTGCATCGTTGGTCGCAAGTGCGACTGCCGGACAAGGGGTCTCGGGTTCGATTCCCGGATCAGGCAAAGTATTACTGGTTTTTTTTTTTAATTCTCAGTAGTAACACGGAGTCTGGAATTGTGCCCGGTATATGGCAATGGGCTCACCCCTATTACATAGGACTCATAACACACATAGTGATAAGTGGGTGTTACATTGTACAGTGGCATAATGTACACCTCTGTCTACGCCTTCGGAGATAAAAAACTTAATGTTGTGACTAAGGTATATATAATTTTAAAATCTTCAAAACTATGATTATCATGTTCTAAGCAACTATAACTAGGGTATAATTGTATCAAATATAATCAAATACAATTATCAACTTGTTAGATTATTACAGTTATATAAAGCAGTCGTACACGATTCCTTCCTTTTCAAAACGGTTCAACAAACCGTACAATAACCAGATACTTCAATATCTACAGAAAACAAGACATATGAACATAACATACATATGTATGTATCATAATGTATTGTACGTACATTGTACATATTATCAGAACTACAAACAAAGTTCAAGGTGTCTTTGAGATGATAATATATAATCATAGGTAGACAAACATACAAATTTATCAAGACTTTCATTATTTTGACCGACGATAAACCGTCCATTATTTCCGTAAATATATTTTTGAAATCGAATTTAAACAATGAGCTATCTTATTATTTGCTTTTAATTTATCTATGTGTGTGTGCCGTACAATTTGTTGCATTCATTGGTCAACCACCTCGTTAATACAATTAATATCTGTTGTATGAATTGTGTGATCCTTTCATTCTATATCTCTGTAATCTATTTATTTTTATTATGTCAGGGTTCACAGTAGTATGATCGGAAATTGTGACCTCTTATATCTTAAAGAGTAAATATATCACATACATACATAAATATGCCGAATAAATATTATAATTTTGGAAACATTGGTTCTCCGAAAATGATGGTGTGATTGAACAGTTTCTTACATGTGGTAGGCATTGCAGGTGTACTAATCATGGTGACCGATTATCATTTGGTGATCCTTCAAACTTGATTGCTAGTGATATAATCGGTATAAATGTAGTTCAGTAGCGTTTCAGTACTCAAGTAACAATTACGGAGATATAGAAGTAGAGGCACTCCCAATCCTTAGGGATATAATAACGATAGCAATATTATATTATTGTGAGTTATCTATTTGTTTGATACCTTCATAAATATTTCCTGTACTTTGCACTCTAGGAAAGTCCGTTTTATAATTTAGGTATTATATGAGGTTATCGGCTTGCAGCTATAATTTCTGGGTTTTTTATAACAAATAGGAAATTGCCAAACTAAAATAAACTTCACTAGTAAATATTTCCTGGACATTTCCATATATTACTAATATTACCTACATGGTAAATAATAAATTAATAATACATAATTTATATCTCGTTTATCTTAAAATTTTATGACCTAGGAATAAAATTGGTTACATTTATGAATAATCTAATTCATTATGAACCTAACCTACCCATAAAATAGTTTATTTAACTAATCCGATAAGCAATATTTCATTTTAGGCGTAACTAATTAATCAAATTAGAGTTTATTGTTGCACCATATTACGGAACTGATAACGTAGGTTAAACTTATCGATATGGTAACCAAAACTAAACGCACGTTAAATTAAAATGAACCTTAAACCGCTGTTGTAAAGTTCAAAATTCAATAGCATAATATTTAAGTGTATCAGTGTTTTTGTTGATCTTACCTTGTAACTGGGTACAGTTGGCTGAACTTCTGACATAAATGAAGACTGCAAGAGTTCTCAATGTGGCAGTTCAATGGTTTGCCTGTGAAGAGAGAAAGAGAACCATAGTAACACATGTCACTTTTTTTTTAAGCGTGTGAAATAAAGTCTTTTCTTTCTAATTTCTTTTTTTTTCTTTATTTCTTTCAAAGTGAGATTGAAATTAGACAAATACTAAACAACTTTTTAAAAAAAAAAAGGATTATCTCCTGTGTCGTGGGTGCGTTTACAAACATACAAGTTCACATACACATGACACCCAGATCCGGAACAACAATTTGTGGATCACACAAAGTGTTGTTCCGTGCGGGAATCGAACCCGCGACACGTTGCACGGCAGCCGGTTGCCCAGCCACCGCACCAACCGTGCAGTCAGATTGATAGTTTAGCTTGCTTATTGGAAAGTCCATCTGTATATAGGTGTAAAATATATGTAACACGACGCTAAACAACCATCAACGACAACTAATAAATATACACCACGTATGTAACAGTATAAAACCTAGAGACCTCTATAAGTGTGGAAATAAAGGAAAAATCTAACAATAACCGTTTAATATCGACATTGTGTTGCAAAACTCAGATCTATAAACGTTGAGGAAATGTAATTAAAAGTCGCCGCGAAACTCAATGTAACGCAGCTCGATAAGGTATCAAGTAAACATCGTAGCAGCAGTTATTATGGCGATTGAAATAACTTTGTTCATGCTTCGTTACATTCTTACTGATTAGTAGAAAGGAACATACAAGTGGACTAATAGTATTGTTGTTTTTGTTACTCATTTAAGTAATTCTTGGGACAAGAAGTAGTTTTTACCTATAAAAGATCCTAGATCCCTAAGATTTTACCTATCATCACTATACTTGAACATTGTACCATCTATGGTATAATCTTACAAGACTTACCTACTCAAATCCATTTATTATGATAAAGAAAGTTGATTACAACATACATAAAGTTTCACTTCTATTTCTTTCAACTGAATGAAATGTAAAAGAATTGTTTTGGACATATCAGCCACATTTTTTTTAATTCTAACTCAAGGTAAATAGTAGATACTAAATTCGCCACGTCTAACAATTTAGTACATATGTCTCTAACACAAAATAACAAAGGGGCATACCATTCTCATCTTCAGTGGGTGGATTAACAGGAGACCAAGTGACTCCATGGTCGAAAGTAATCAGAGAAATCAGGTGCTCAGGTCCAATATTCGCCACGAGGGCCTTCGAGTCCACCCGCGAAGCAATGTATATTCCTTTTAAACCTTCAACGCGGTACAAGTCCGTAAATGGATCTTCGGTCACATCCCTGAAAAATACCCTTTGTTTACTCAAAATATTTATAACTACATGAAATGATTGATCTGTTTGTGAATGTCACCTCAAACTGACATTCCTGAGACTAAAATAAAACATTTCTGCAGCCAAAATACTTTGTCCTTGCAGACAAGGTTACAAGTGACAAGGCGCCATTCCCTTCGATAGGAACTGACTACGTAAAAGATGCAGTTCATACACAACCAGAAGTTTGAGTTGTTTATTGTAAAAATTAAAGGCCTGCCTTTCCATCTTGGAGATATAAGCAGAGGTGCACAAACTAAGTACAAATACTTGTGGTACAAAACAGAAAAGAATACTTATACATAAGTAATACTCACTCAAGCCAGCTGTCCTTCCAGTTAGCATCAGGGAAATAGCATAATATTTGTTCCAAACTCAACACAAAGTTGTACTGTGTGAAATTGTTGCTTATCTCTGACACGTACAAATTCGCTAGGGCATCAGTGTGCATGACAGAGACGAATATACGTTTGTCTGTTACGTCTGCAATGTGGAATCTTTTTAGATCTAATTCTGTTTGGAACTCAGCTTTGAAGAATGGACCTCTTTGGTGTGAAATATAAAGATCTAGTGTATTTCTCTGAAAAGAAAAAAAATATTATTAGAATTCGAACCGAATATCATTGATATGTACCTATTGGGAAACAATTTTCGATTTCAACGCTCATTTATTCAACCAAAACAATCAAAAACTAAAAACCTGTATAAAACATCCGTTTCGCGAAAAGTATTCAAATGACCTTCCCTATGATACACATTACAAGTTGGTGTATTTAAGATAATTTCGATAAATTCGAGTGTTAACATAAAAACGACATTCAACCTTCAAACTTTCGTAGAAGCTTGACGTTAAGACATAAAACCTGTTCACATGCGGTAAACCTTAGCAATTAATCAATTTCCTACAGTAGAAGTACCCAGGTTTTGAAAACCTGTTGTCAACTACATAACAAATACTCAAGATGGCGAGAAGTTCAAATTGGTGCTACGTAACAATGATCGAGGAATGGAGTAATAATTGAGAAGAATTATCTTCAATATAAATTAGGAATAAATGTATAGACTATAGAGCAGAAGCTAAATAGAACTATTTGTTTTTGGTATCAACAGCCCGAGACCGTGCATTGCTAGACTATGGGTCTCTTCATCATAAGAGAGTGCCATAATCTCCACGCATAGCATCGAGATCGAAGTAGATTCTCTTATATGTGATTGTGTAGTCTCTAGTCGGCTCTATCTACATCGGCGGAAAGAATAGATGGTAAATTCATTCTGACGTAACTATACACGAGTTTGTTTCCATACTAGAGACAAATTGAAAACGTGACCCAGGAATTGTGATCGGGATGTATAGCAGTATTTCATAATCAATAACAGCCTATAAGTGGCCACTGCTCACCAAAGGTCACTTCTCACACAGAGAAGGTTTGAGCATTAATCACCACGCTTGCTCAATACAGATTGGTGATTGCAAACTCAAAATTAGAAATTATAAAGCCCAGGTTTCCTCACGATGTTTTCCTTCACCATTTGTTAGTGGTGTCTAAATAATCTTAGAAAATACATATTATAAATAACTCAGAAAAAGTCACATTGGTACTTTGCCGTTGGTAGGTTTCGAAGCCGCACCCTCGTGCATGAGAAGTAGGCGTCTTAAAGCTCCAGGCCACTAAGACACAAGTAGTAGTAGTAGCAGCAGTGTTGACACCGCACCGGTATTACGATGATACATAACACTAGCTCAGCACCCGAGTGCATTGTTTATTTAGCGTACGTCTAAACACAATCTTCAGCTAAAATTGCAATGCGTCGATAATCGCTTTCAATGTCAGCCACATAATAGTATGCAACTTTATATTCCCTTGCATAAAATAATGACTTATTAACAAAACATTATTGTAATTTTACATCATCAATACAATAACTTTATAGCAAATAAATACTTGAAATAAGTAAGTAATAACAATTTATGGTCATAATGCTTTGTTTTTAACATGTATGACGGCTTTTATGTGGACAAAATAATACAAAATGATTGTTATTAAGACAAGAACTAGGATTTTCAATGGCATGCTAAACTATGCCTTAGTACCTGTGGTGTATGATTGGAAACCACACGGAGCATAGTTCTGATGTTCGAAGTAAAGTTTGAGTCTAAGTTGGCCTCGACCTTTGAGGTCGTAGCATTCATATACTATTTAAAAGTTTTGTGCACAATATAATTTTAATAAAATATAGTTGGTAGGTAAACGATAGTTCTGTTGGTTTGGTATGTTATTCTTACACCAAAATTGTTGGACCTATTTAGAATAAATTCAGCACAAACACATGGATGACTGTGTTCCTGGTGGCAGTATTTTTTTAATAGATTACCAATGACGCAAACATAAACATATCTAGTATTTTTTAAAGTTTAAAATTCGACCATCTTGAAGATTAATTGATTTAAACTTTAAAAAAATACTATTAAATATCAAGATACTATAAATATTGACCTTGTGCGTTTAATTGAATAACGACTACCATCCAATATATTGCAACATTGTTTGATATAATTGAGAAATAGATTGAGATTAGAGAGAGATAGGGATACTTTTTGGCATTCAGATCTAAAGCAAGTAAGTAGGTAGGTACCGTCAAACTATTATGAATAATGTATCTACCTATAGATTTATGAATACGTATGTAGTTACACATATAGTTCTATTCATACTTAAATGTACTTATTAATAATACAAAGTAGGTCTAACGCTCTTTTGACGTCGAAACCATTAAATAAATTGGGAAACTATAGTCCAGTTACACTCTAGAGACAGCTACGGGCTATTTTAATCTCTATCGACCAGAACGAAGCCATTTGAAAATTAGGACCTAAATAAAAAAGTAAGAAAATTAATTGAATAGTGGTTCTTTTTATGGAAAATAAGTAAGACTTCCAATAAATATTATTCAAAGAACAACAAGTCATATGACTCATACCAACTTCATTAATAAGAACGACTACCTACCTATATGATAAATATTAAATACATACATTATTCAATATTAATAAATTGATACCTAAATTGAACATATAATATAATATAAAATACCTAAAACTGTTTACATATTTAGTATTGCAACACTTCTATAAAATGCAAGACATGGAAGAAAAACGCATTTAATATACAGACAGACCAAAATAATATGTATATTTTGTAACCCATAGGCATTTAGGTACACGATATGTAGATAGTATGCAAAACTATACACTAAAATGGTGTGGATGGTCGTGGCAATTTCTAAGGAGGTCGAGGATTTTTATTAGTATACCTGCGTAAAATAAAACCTTGAGTATTGTGAAACTAATCTTTATCCGTCACAGATCTCATTCACGTAATTTGTAGTAATAAGTATACAAAACCGCGGTGCTAAAAAAAAACAATAATGACAACAAATGAAAGATGTGCTGGAAGCAAGAGGGCTTTGCAGTGTCCGTTTACCCTGTCGCGGAGAACCTAACGGAGCTCCATTTCGACGGAGAAGGAACGGGATGGTTTTTAGTCAGTAAGAGTCTGCCACTCCCTCCCGCCTCACCCAGGCGGGAGCAGTCATTCGATGATTTTCCCCCTTAAAAAAAAGTGTCTGTTTACCCTCATAGGACAAAGTCGCGAGTCACGTATGTCAAAGTCAAAGCATTTATTTCAATTAAACCATAATTTGAACCTTTTAAGACGTCAACAAATACAAAATAATAGCCTGTCAGTCTGTCCGTCAGTGAAGCTAGGTGTCATTCCAAAATGTAGATTTGAATGGAGAAGAACGAGCAAGAAACTCCATTCGTAATTTCCATTATACGTTTGTATGCTAACCTAATTGTTGACAGAGTAAGCAATTCTATAGACACACCTTGTATCGTCTAACCACCATGCACCACAAGGGAGTTTTATTTGAAGATGTGTGTATTGTGATCACTAACAGATTTTTTATATCGCACAAAGACAATTACTAACCCCTATTGGAAAAATTACAATAAACGAAAACGTTAAACAACTACCTACTTTTTACTACCTACATGAATGATTTCAAGGAAAAGGACACTCATAAGATAACCTTATCTAATTTAAAAAGCAACTTAGTGCAAGCACTTAACAGCATTAAAAACTCGCGATACAAGCGAATGGTGTCATTTGTCACCATGTCTTGATGTCGCAACAATCCACCCACAGTACAACATGAAACCGTTGTTTATGTCCACTGAAATACTCTAAAATCGAATTACTAAAACAATGACATCAACTTAAGCTCCACCGATAAGGCTTCAAGTGAACAGATCTTTCAACAGTTTCAAAATTCGAAACTTCGAGTACTATTTAGTTCAGTTTCAAAGTATCAAGTATTTTATTATTAGCTACTTATCCTTTTGAATGCTGAAAAAAGGATCCTTAAACGCTCGAAGTTCAAAGCAAGTAAATGATAAACTCAATCTAGTACTAACCAGTCAGTTGACATTTCTGTCTAATTAAAAGGAATAACGTTTTAGGACGGATGGTCGGTTATAGAATCATTTTCATAATAATAATATGTATTATACTGGCAACCACTCTACGTAAGCAGATTCGACTGTACCTAATTCTTGTATTAGCATTATTTTTATTTTACAAGGCGTCATTTTTACAAAGTAGGTTTAATGCCATGGGCATTCTCTTCCAGTCAGACCTTTGGGTGATGCAGAGACAAATACAATGGTCGATGCAAGAAGCAAGCGTAGGAGAGTTCAAGTGTGGGAGAGCCATGCTTCGACACGAATGGGCCGGCTCGACCGGAGTGATACCACGGCCTCACAGAAAACTGACGTGAAGCAAAGCTTGCGTTGTGTTTCCTCGTGTGAGTGAGGTTACCGGAGGCTCAATTACCCTCTCCTTCCCCAATCTCCCCCATTCCTGAATCCCCAACGACTTTGACTTTGATCCTCAAACCCCTAATCCCCAAAAGGCCGATAAAGCACTTGTAATGCCTCCGGTGTTCCAGGTGTCCATGGGCGACGCCGATTGCTTACCATCAGGTGATTCGTCTGCTCGTTTACCGGCCATAAAAAAAGCGTATTCGAAATAATAATATAAGCATTAAGGTTTAATAAACAAGCTAAATTCAAGGAAAGCTGTCTAAGCATAACTATCACCTGCCACAGGATAGATAAGAAGTCAGTAGAACTGTAACTAGTGGAAGGTAAGAACAGAATCCAAACAATTACAGTTACTGTGCAGATTCTGAGAAACTGAAAAGGTAATGTTGATTCATAGAAATGCGAGCCGTATAATTTAATACTAAGTTATATTAGATACATGGCTAACATTACATGTAGATGGGGTGCTACTATGTTCAATGTGAATAAATGTAATCAGAGTACCGCTTTATTGCTAGTGTAATGAGGCGTCGAATATGATAGAAGCCAAAAAAAGGGTACCTAACGTAAGATAATTTTATAGTTTATAATGGTATTTGTCAATTATGTACATAAATAATAAACATCCCAGGAGTCATGGAATTGCAAATTATTTTGATTTCCTAGTCTAATTAAGAATTGTAATGAATTTGCTTTTCTTGACATTTTAAACTTGAAGTAAAATTAGTCATTATTATTAAGTTTATTTCAGGATAAAATATTACCTATTTAGTATAGTAAAAAGCAAGTCAAGATAGTCTTTATAAGCACAATATAGCGTTTTTCCTAAATTTGACCCAAGAACATTTTTTACATAATTTATAACATTCATTCAGTTATTAAATATTTATGGACACACTTTATAAATAACAACACGTCACGAAAACCAATTAGTATAAATCACTGAATAAAGTTCAAGATCCATATTAGCAAATAGTTCAGCATATTTTTATAATACCTAACACTAAGCACTGACCTAGATATTTCCTCAATAACTCAATACACCTCAGTTAAATTATTTATCAATGAATACTAGGAATTGAATGTATAGGGACAATCTCATGTTTACAATTCATCATAACACTCCTATTATTCCCGTCTCCCCAAGTCCCCATTATACAATAACGAATTAATAAGCAGTAACATCTAGGAGGGATCTCAACACTCGACAAACGACTTTATAATATAGTGCAAAAATCGCAAATATTGCATTCCCGTCGCGTACTTATCGTCGTCATCGACGTCCCTATATCTAGAAAATGCATCTCATTCTGACGTCATGCATACGACATTGCACGAGCACATGCTATGACGTCATATTCGTATGTATCGAGTTTTATTCGACTTGTCACTTTCACCCGCGCCCTAAATGCTGTACAGTTTATATTAGACCACCTACCTTTTGTAAAACAGAACTAACAACATGTAAAAGTTTCATCCAATCAGAATGCTAATTTCAAATATTTTCTAGATGAGGCAAGATATTTCATGTAGGTACGAACTTCACAGCAACATAATGGATACGTGCTACAACATGTGCCGATATAAAAATACGTTACCTACTGGCATGCATTCAGTATAGATCTATGCTAGTTTAAGGAAAATAATATTAAATAACACATGTAATTATTTAGGTGAAATCGTGTTGGTCGCTCTTTAAATAAAATCATTATTTATACCAAAGTACTTTCGTGAGACAATTCCATGTTTTAGTGCTCCGTAACATGAAATGTTTATTTTTGGAACTTCACTGGAACTATCATGTCTAATGAATGGCCTCGTTGTGTGCAAACGAACACTCACTTTTTAAAGTTGTAGGACTAAAGTTATTATATTGTTGACCTATTAACCTGGCCTCCCTCCACTGTAACTCGAGTGTTCTAGACTTTGTTATTCCTATTTCTACGTACATATTATGTATTATACTAATGTAGACTGCGGTTGAATGTTGCAGTGTCGAATTTGTTGTGACTCATTGACAAAAACACAATCTAAGTTACGTTATAATATTATCATTATTTACACAATTCAATTAAATAAAACTGTAATCAGCAGGATAAACCTACCAAAAACAAAGTTCTTACCTATTTTGCTCTATAAAATAATTCAAATAAATACTAAAAACTACCCGTTCATTTTCAAATGTAATAATTCTTTGCCTAAAGTATAATATGATAAGACGCAAATAATTTAATTCTCAAATGTCCTAGATCATGGGCTCCACAAGAAAGACAGGTGATAAATATAAGTAAGCCAAGAAAGTCAACGAAAATGATCGCACTAACATCAACAATACTTATTAGCGGTTAACGGCACGACAAGTTTAAGCAATAAACAGATCGCCTGAGAGTGCGGAGGCGGGCTGTTCACTAACACCGCCATTCGATACAAATAATAATGCCGTGTCAATAACCTAATATACATGTGTTTACTTAATGCAGTCACAATAAAATCCCAACGGGTACATTATCGTATCAACTGAGGTGATTCGGGTAATCCGTACGAACACTCGAGACAGTCAAGGAGCCAGTTGAAGAAGGACAATTTGCCGCATTATTCGCTTGACAAGATACTTCCTTGCGCCGTGTATAACATTTATTCGTACGTACATGGTCCGAGGGGTGTAGGTACTAACTAAACGGTAGACCACAGTACTTCTGGATGACACTTAATTGGTGACTCAACTGTGCCAACAATATAAACTAAATTAACATTAAATCCGCTTTATTCATTCACTAACAAGAATAACAAGGCTCATCAATTGCTTTTTCCCTTAAAAAATAATGTTAACAGATCAAATATTAGGAAGAAATCAACTTTATCGTATTGTAAAATAAAGTTGTCAAATTATAATGATTTAAATCTTACTGCTGCCGGCAGCAATTCTACTTAGATAAATTAATGTGTAAACAGTTGTGTTCGATCTCGTTGAACTAAGCGTTCTGCTTCGACTATGCGTCATGTTGATGAATCAGACATTTCTGCGGTCACAATTTAATACCTAGGAAGTACAAAAGTACTTACGTGATGAAAATTCATCTGTTTACGTACTGTCTTCTAAATAATTTATAATGTCTAACTTGTTTGAAACAGACGGAGCTATGCGCTAAGTACGCCTGTGTGAAAACAATCGATAGGACACTGTTGTGTACATAAATTATTATCGTCACATGTTACTTTCGCATGAGTTAACGACTGATAACAGAATAATCGGATACAACGACGTATTGTGCCTAGCATTTCGAGACATCGAACTATTTTTAGGTGCGAACAAAGAGTTCGTGGTGAGTGAGGTGTAAGGGAAATTGCTTGTTTGGTTGACCTACGAGGTCACATATTGTCGGACGCAGGAATAAGTTTATCGGCAATGCCTTGTTTATTAAATGTTTCCTGTGTCGCTGGTTTAGTGAGAGTAACCTTTGTCGAGGTTTCGAATATCGAACTCGTTTCATATTTTATTTCTTTTTTTATGGCATAAGCCGATAAACGAGCAGACGGATCACCTGATGGTAAGCAATCGGCGTCGCCCATGGACACCTGGAACACCAGAGGCGTTACAAGTGCGTTACCGGCCTTTTGGGGATTAGGAGTTTGAGGATTGTTGAGAATTCAGGGATTGGGGAGATTGGGGAAGGTGAGGGTAATTGGGCCTCCGGTAACCTCACTCACACGAGAAAACACAATGCAAGCGTTGCTTCACGTCGGTTTTCTATGAGGCCGTGGTACCTCTCCGGTCGAACCGGCCCAGTCGTGCCGAAGCATGGCTCTCCCACGCTTAAATTTATTTACTAATGGAACAAACACCTACAGTTTTATGGTATTCAATCGTACGAGCCATTCTATGATTCTAAATAAGTGTGTCTGCTTACTACTGGGTTTACCCCAAAACCTATCAACATTAGTGTTCTCTAACATTGTCGAGACTTGAGAGTGTGTGATCGTGATATGGATATTTTATCAGTGATAACTGATTGACGTTAATGTTCTAAACAAATTATGTTATAACCTAGGAAAGGTGACTTGTTACTGTTTGATATAAAACTCCTTCTATAACGACTCTAGCAAACCATACCTTCCGTTTTTCAATGTCAATGTCTAATTTTGCCGATAATAATGCAAAAATGTAGACAACTATAACTCGTAGGTTCATTTTATCATTAGTATGAGACTACTTTAGTACTTTTTGCTTTTATCTTAACGGTAAGAATATGCAAAAGTGGCAAAACGTGTTTTAGCGAGACTTTCTCCGAGCAATTTTTATGACATGACTTTAGAGATTCAGCTGTGTGTGTTTAAAGGTTGTTTACGTTGTTGTTTATACATAGCTACTGATATGACAAGATCAAAATGAATTATTAATAACTTGTTTACCTTAATATTATGAACAAGAAGTTAGGTTTATGTATGCCAACAGACAGTAAAAGATATCCTATTTCTCCGCAAGAATCTGTTCAATAGTTTAAGCATCAAATCATAACAATTAAAACGAGTAACTTTTGCGTTTATCAAAATAAAAAAAACTTACGTCTTTGGATTGTTTGGTGGCGAACATGTAATCTCCTTTGATTTGGAAGTCTTTGGCTTCTTCGAACAATATCTCAGCATTGACCAGGTCAGTAGGATCACTCGCACTGAACACTGTGCTCGTTCCATCAGGCTTCCAGCGCTCCATGTAGAACACCTTCGAGAAACCAGGACCCGAGGACCAGAAGAAGGTTTTCACGTAACTTTGGATCATCTTGAATGTTTTTCCGCCGTCTAGCGTCAGGTACAGCTATAGAAATCAAAGAGTAAGTATATAATGATAATGAATATTTTGTTTAGTAACCTATTTTCGTAAGTCCGTTTCATGAACACACAGAACAGGGAAAAGTTATAATATGTATATAAAGGCATTTGGACGTTGTTCGTCAGTGTTACCTACATTCATAAGCATGCGCGCACAATATTACAAGGGACTAATGCAACAAGTAGGTATGGCACTCCAGGAAAACCGATGGAAAAATATAAAATAAATGCGTTCGTAACAAGTTTAATCATAACTGACAAGAAAAATTGGTTTAGTCACATCAATATGCATTCAGCCATTAGGACCTGTCCTAGTCACATGACGGTCAAACGGTCATATAACCAATGATTGGTGACATCCCTTCGGCCATGTCCTCCGTTATTGTGCCACACGAGTGACCCTCACGGTCCGAAATAACTCGAAACTTCTTAATTTCTATCATATTTAGTAAGGAAATGTCAATGAGGCAGAAGAAATATGTGAGAATCGATGTTCCATTGTCTCTAACAAAATGTTCTATCAATGAATTGCAAGTAATTTCAATTGTTGTTTCGCCCATTGCTGATTAAGGAAATCGTAATCGTGTTAGTGTCGGCAGTTAGGCACATTAACACAATTAAACACACAGTGCGCATAACAATTACGTATATTTTGAATGAGAAATTTTTTAATTTTACTCGTCCAATTTCCATGAAGAATTTTCTAACGTCCAAAAAGTAAAAAAAACCTTCAGACGCGTTTGTTTGATTTTAACAAAGCCTTACTGATTAAGCACTTACTTTTCTGTTGGTGACGACTTTGTCCAAAATAACGTATTTGTCAGGAAACTCCTCATCGAAAGATAGCTCACTGGGGTGGAAAGAAAGGTCCGACCGGTGGATGGTGCGTCCATTGTCACTAGTGTAGAAAAGCTTCTTGTTTGTCGAGTCCACGAATACACACTGCGAACAAAACAATAAGAGTAGTACGCAAGTTAGGGGACCCTGAAATAGAATATAATGATTCTGAGACCATCACCTGTTGGTAAGCTTAGTTGCAATATACGCTTTGATTTTGACTTTGAATTAATTGAACGTGCAGTAATTAAAAAAAACGTATAATTATTTATATATTTGTGTCGTGGACGCATTTACAAACTTCCTGTGTGGATACACGCTGAACATTTTTCCAATCCAGTCAAGTCGTATATTATTTCATTATTATTAGATGGACGTCCTGTAGGATGTCGGAAGTTCTAATGGGTAATTTAATTTGTAATTTCATATATAAAATACAAATTTAAACGTAGGAAACAGATATGATACCGTTATAACGTCATTATGACTAACTGCTAACCGGAATTCAATTATTCGTTATTGCAATGTATATTTGTTTTATTTTATATCAAGAATCAAATGGCCAAATGTGTGTCAAATTTTGAAACCTAGATTAGTTACTTACGACACAGTTTATTAGGTTTTTATTTGAATGTGTATGTAATTTAAAAAGTAGTAATAGGCATAGTTCATGTGTTTAAGGAAAATATTATGATTAGTGTCATTTTGGGCGAATTCTTTCCTTAAAATTACTGAACTATGCGATAATATTTTATAACAAAGTTTATGAAAGAACAATATTTATATGGGGTACATACACTATACTTAATTATAATTAAATCATGTATAATTGTGTAGTGCGGAACTCAAACTATGTAAAAAACTAGGTTGCCTCGCATCACCTCATTCATACCTAACTGTACACCTCACATTAGCAGACGTACTGATTTAGTAAATAACAAAATTATACGGCATATTTTTATGTATTGTCGATATGGCGAACAATATTTAACTTTATTGTAATGGTAATAAGTATCCGAAATTTTTATCCAAAATTAATAAAACAAGAAGTGTTGGTAAATTACCAAACCGTCTGTTCTACCTGAGTGTGAATGACCTCAAAGTCTTAGCGTTGCTTATTATTAGACTATTAAACATTTTCGCTATTTGCATCATGATAGGATGTTTTTGTATATGTATTATCCATGATTGTCTCATGTTCAACAATATTTAAATTATTTTCGCGGAACTTAGACTACCACGATTTTATTCACAAAGCCTTAAAAATACCCATTTAATTAAGATTCAAAGCAACTGCGAATTATACCTCGCTAATTTTAACTAATGCTTCACTGAACAAGATAACGTAAAATAGAGTAAAAACATTATCAATTGTCAATTTCCCGGTATACCTTGACATTAGGTATACCGTAAAGTTCGTTGAACTGCGCACGTGATACGAATGCGGCTATCTATAAAAGGACAAACTGTCCTGTTAAGATTCCGACCTTATGTGACTTGTTACAAGATATCTTGTGGATACCACAATATTGTGACACTTGCGTTCGGCCATATTACGGTAATCTCCGCTTCCTATGTAATTTGTAAATAGGCAATCTGAGCACTAAAATAAAATGACTGAGAAAATGGTACTCAATCGTATCGTAAGCGAAAATTAAATAAAAGGAAAACCAAGGTATGTAGTAGAATATAACAAAAAGTTTCGGGCGCTTAGCATATGATTGGAATTCAAATTGAGTTTTAAACACTGAAACCTCTCAGGGGTGGATACAACATGTGTAAAATACTTGTGGGATTGTTTCTATTTTTAAATCACCAAAATGAACAACTTTTTACAATAAATATAATTGAATTGATGCTGATGAGATTTGTTCCATACCATTAGAATTAATTAACCTTGGACAAGATTAATTAAAAAATCTAAAATTTTCCAGAAGTCATTATTATAAGCAGACAAAGTTGTGGGGGAACAGCTAGTATATATATAAATAAATATACACATTAAACAACCATCAAATTAAATGCAATAATTATGACAACTCGATGACTTTAATAAATTTCCTTTTGCTTTACCTTGATGGGTATCAAATACATATAGAATAATATCTCCATACTATCAAATAAAGAAGCAAAAATATCTTTAGGAAGTAACAGAAAAGATTTGACTACCACCAATTGATAAGATAGATATTACATACAAACTATTCTTCGATTCAGCTCACTATCTGACTAATATCAGATGAATAACAAAATAAATTTTATCTTAGATAACCAATGTCAATGTTTTGTTGTTATTTATTTATTTAAGGTTTTGTTGTCCAAAACTAAATAAAGACTTTTGTTTAACGGAATTTTAAAATGAGGTGAATAATATACCATTAGGCATATTAGTGATAAAGTTAAAATTAAGGAAGAAGTTACTACTGTTATTTCTAATCTCAATTTAGTATAATAAAAGTTTGCTAATTATTGCTTGTGTTAATGACATTCTAAATATGGAGGTCAGTACATAGAATAAAAATTCACATCAACGCAATACTCAAGTACTTATTAAAGAATAGTTCACATTCCTATGAATGGAAAGTAAACAGTAAATACATAATGAGGAATTACACAAGCATTGTGTTATGATTGTAAATAAATATCACTTATTTTCTTTGTTTAGAATATTCACTCAATAAACAAGTAAACATTTGATCTAGAATTTAATTCAGAGCTGTTTTAGAAGTTTCATGTAAACACAATTACTTAAATTATAAACAGAAATTCTTACTTCTCAGGAATAAAAGCATGGTGTGCTAAATATTTCACACTCTTCATTTGTTTAAACAGGTAATTGATACAATTAAAACTAACCAATCAATAAAATAATCCAATAAGAAAACATGACAGTCACAGTTTATCAATAAAATTATAATATTTTCTAATTTCCTAAACACCTATAAAATAATAACATGTTTAACAGTAGGTACATATTATAGGATAAAAATAAAGGTAGGTACTTACAAATTCAGGGTATTTGGGATGATTGAAGAACTTATCCAGTTGAGCATATCCACTGTCTGGTGCATCACCCAGTTTGAAGCTTTCAGTTTTATTGGTGAAGTTCTTGCCATAGTCATAGGATATAAAGAGGGCAGATGGTGATAAACCTCCTTTGTTCCTAGGACTTGAATCCCTAGCCAGGCAGATGATCACATTGGACCCTTCACCCACCCAGTGCACCATCAACTGCTGATGGCTGTCATTTAGATGTGTTGTCTGTGGATAAAATTACTTTTTAATTACTGCACAAGTGAAAGTATGCTGCAAACATACAGACAGTGCTTGTGAGAATATTATTCTATTGCTAGATGAGTTACTGTAATATTAGAAAGTATTAGCTTTATAACTCTGATTAAAGTTAGTTAAATAGAAATGTAATTCTTGCTTAATTTTTAATTGCAAGTAAATACTGTACTTCAACTAGTTCAGATAAGACTTGTTACAACAGTCAGATAACAACCCAATGTAAAATTAGCATCAAATTAACATTTACCTGCTTTTATTAGAAAACCAGATATAAAAATACCCTCAAAGTGCTAAGTCATTATGAAAATGTACGCCTCATTAAAATTAGGATGTTTACTACTATAAATACAAATAACGAATGTGCACGACCTTCTAGTCTGAAACATCAATCTTCAGACAAAAGAAATCGTCATTCAGAGATAAAAATAGTAGAAAGTCCACAACACTACAATATTGCTTAGTAAACAATAGATCAAATTATAAATAATGGGACGAATGATACGGGTCCTCGTAAGTAAATCAAAGTAATAAACATAACAATCGTATTTAATAAGGATATGGACTATTACCCATGTACTTATGTTTTTCTGGATAGCGGGAGTCGTTAATGTTGTCGCTTCACGTTTTCTCCTTTCCAAATGAGAGCTGTCTTCATTCTCAATGTTTCTACTGATAATTTGCAATTTTCCACGACTCGGCTCCAAGTCTTCAGCTACGTATAATGTGTTACTCGGCGTTCCATACTGACGCAAAGATACAACGCACGATAACAAACTCACTAATACTATGAAGCCGATTCCACGTCCAAATACTAACAACATTTTGTGGTCACTGCATATCCAAAGCACATCCAATCGAATCCAATATTTCAAAGAAACTAAACTGCGTTGCGTTATGATGATCTGCGAACAACACAGAATCTGAAGTTGGCAACAAACGAGTTCAAACGACTACGAATTTTGACACGACGTTTACTTTGACACTTGACACTACCAACTGGACTGGAATGTGTTGCTATTTTAAAAAATATACGTTTTATTTCACAACTAACTCAACGTCCAAAGACGTCGACGTTCTTGTTGTACAAGTTTAACAATAACAAATAAATTATTGTTAATCAAGACAAAGCTACTTTTTTGTTAAAATATATAACTCTTATTGTAGTGGCTTACGACTGCGCGACGCTCTCATTGGTCGCAATATATTCTGTTGCTACATATTTTATTTTTTACTCACCGAACATAACAAGGACATTTCAGGTTTACAGATTTAAATTCGACGTAGGAACCGAATATGAAAAACCAAACATAGATATCGGTATTTTCTATATTCTATTCATTCAACACAAAACAAATTAGAGGTAATAAAATAGAGTGAAATGTTATGTAGAATGTTTCTATTTTTTAACTGTATTGTTTAATGCATTTACAAACCATAGATCTCTTAGCATATCAGTGTTACAAACATACACATAACACCTATACTCGGAATTTTAATTCGATTCCAGATTTGACAATTTCAGTGTGGCAACGTTATGACAAGTACTAAATAGTGACGTTGCAAAATTATTCGATTGGAAATGAAATATTTCTGGATCGATTCTTCTCGTTTATAATAATTATAATTTTACTCTCGTGAACTAAGTTTATCAGGAAATTAAATATTTCTGAACCGATAATTTAGTTTTGACGATTAATTAACGATCTGAGACGTTTCTTTTATAATTGTGTGTGAAATAAATAAAAAAATGTAATCATGAAGGAACATGACAAATAAAACAGATAGATGTATTATGGTAATAAGTTATTTTATAAATTGTCGCCGTCATCGCTATCGCTATCCTGACATTTTCTGTAACATTTATTATAAAACACACACACTGATTGTTTATCGATTTTTGTGTACATCACTACACTATTATATGTGGTATCATTATTTCACAAAATGACAGTAGCTATTGTCAAATCTGGAATCTAATTAAAATTCTGACTATAGACCCGAAACGACAATTTAAACCCCCCCTACATAAACACGTCGCGGGGCAGCCGGTTGCCGCGCGACGTCACGTGTAGCGGGTGTCCGTCGTGGAAATCGACGGTCCTTCGGGGCCCCTGGGTACTAGCCCAGAGTGCCCTTATGGTAGACTCAAAGACTGTACCGACTGCAGTTTGTGTGCTGTACTGAACTAGGACTCGCTTCGTTGAAGTTTTAGGAAACCCCAAAATTTTAAGATGAGCGAATGTGAAATTTTGTACTTATTTGAGGTGGAAAAATAGAATGTGAAATTTTGTACTTATTTGAGGTGGAAGAATATGAAAAAAAAAACGAAGTAATAAGGTTTTAAATTTTTTTTATTGGTCATAAAATTACAGAACGATGACTTGCTGCTTGGCGGCCTGCTTAGCCTTTAGGCGGACCTGCGCGGCAATTCTGTCCAGGTCACGTCTGCCCTGAACAGTGAGAATGCGACCACCATCTTGAACCTTTTCAACCATTTTTAGTGCTTCGAGGGCTTGGAGGGCTTTGCGGGCAATGCTGCCTGATGACCTGAAATAATGTAACCAGTTTATTAGTAAATTGTGTTTTAATTGTTAACAATGTCTTAACCTGTGGTATGGCAGAATGCAGATTTACGCAAGAGACACAATATGTTTTCTATTATGTCTCATATACTGGCATTCAAGCAGTTAATACACAGTGTCTTAACCCTGTATGCAGTTGCAAAATTATGGAAACCTATTGTCACAAGATTTTTATTAATTAATTATTACTTGGTTTTATATTGTTCATAAAATAAGTTTGGCTTTCTCATCTCTACAGCACATTATTCACGCTTAGTAAAACTAAATGCAATAAAATATTAAATTACCTGCAGAAGTGTGAGGGTGTGACTCCATTACGTTTGCGACCACCGAAGATTTTGGTGACAGTCTTGACTCCAACAGGGGAGCGGATGTAGATGTGGCGGAGGATGGCAGCACACCTGACATAGAACCAGTCGGGGTCGTAGGGAGCCAGCTCCTTGAAACGACCAGTCTTCACCAGATCCATGTGTTCTGGCACCTTGACCTTACCCGTCCTGGAAAAATAAAATGGTTGTTACATTAATAATCATCATTAGTTAGTTTATTGCATTGCACAATAAATATGGGTTTTTAAATATTTAAGGTTTTCTTTTATAGTAAAGGATAAAACTGCAATAAACCCTTGGTTCCAACCATCAAAGATCAACACAAATAATGTATAGGTAATAAAAATTCTATATTAAAACTTTATTTTTAAATATTGTTTAAAGTCCGTTCGCATGGTAAATACAAATTAAGTTAAGCAGGGAAACCTATTATTAGCCTTACTAAACTGTAATATCTTTATTTTGTATTATATCATATGTATCGCTGTTGGTTTTCTAAATAAATAAATAAATATAAACAATGATAGAAAAAAGGAAGTTAAGGTGTCCAGGCATTATTAATTTTCATTTATTGTTCGAACATAAGAAGAAATTATATTGCTAAGAAATAAATCAAGTTGTTATCTGGGACATTAGTTTGTGAATTTGTTGACTGATTAGTGACTCTTTCCAAATCCTCAGCAGGTATGTAGTACCGAGTATTGCATTATTTATTTACTTGATGTTTGGGAATAAGATTACTTTTTGTTGTTCTAAGAATAGTAATATGCTTAGTAATAGTAATTGCCCAGAAATTAAGTGATTAACAAGAATTAGAAGTAGATAAAGCATATGCTTTTTTATCTCATGCCAGGCTCTTAAAACTCTTAAAACCAATCTCAATGTCAATACAATTTGAATTAAATTTCAATAATTATTCAATGTCAAACTATACAACCCCCATCATAGCTGTTAAAATAGCATTCAGAGTATGGAATATAAAGCCAAACTCAATACCATTTAGTTCATTCAATATCCACTCAATGCCGATGCAATGGGCGCTAGTGTTGCAATATTCAAGAGTATGAGATTTCACAATATCAATGTTGATCGATCGGAATTGAATTCAAGAGTAAGCCCTCTGGTCAGGTACATTTAATTATCTAATTATTTTCACTCTAATGCAACAATTAACTTCACAGCATTTATTATGTATTGATTAAAATCATTTTCTAGAACAACAGAACTAGATAAAATACCATGAAATACCAACATGGGACAACAACAAAATATTATAAAGGTTCACAACAGTATTCAAAGTGCCAGAAACAATAACATTATATTATGATACAATGAAGATCATATTCAACTTGCCACAATTTACATACAGTATCAAAATAACCAATCTATAATAAAAAAAAAGTTTTGATTTCGGTAAATCAACTCTGCAAAGTAATGTGTGTAAGCAAAATCAAATTTTTTCAAGTTTTGTAAAGTAAGTTCATAATTTGTACAATATACTCACTTCTTCAGATGGGCAGCTACGGTCTTGACGACCTTGTCCTGTTCAACATCCTTCAATGTGACGGAACGCATCTGAAAACACAAATGCACCAAAAAAATGTTATATTTAGTATACCCACAAGTTTAAGATAATTAATAAAGATTCTATACTGCATGTTAATGTCACTTCGGATACAATGCGGTTTATTAGTTCTGGATATCAAGCAAAGTTAAATTCCACAGACTATTTCAACAACACAAAATGTGTTAAAATGTGAAATGATTGGTTGATAACAAAAATACAAAATAGTAAATATTAAAATATTTTAGAATAGGTATATACATTTCAGAACCAGTACAGCCTTAAGTTAATCAAAGTGTTTACTTCCTCTGGTGTCACAAAATATAACAAGGTAAAAGTTAGGTTATAAAATGGTCACCAATAAAGTAACATTAAATAACTCTTCTATTATGAAGATTTTAATATTAAAACGATATCTTATGTACTAAATAGCACAGAGAAGCACAAGTTTCACTAAAATATAATGTTTGTCTTGCTAAAAATTACACATGACGTTTCGTGCGCGTTGCGGTACACTTTCAATTAAAATTATTCTGCATCCCAAGTTATGCTATTGACATACAAATTACCCGAATCTTACCTTGGGCTACAAAATTAGATAAAACACACTTTATTCCTAAATAATATAATTATTTCACAAATAAAACCATGTGGCTTCGCCAGAAAACCCACCTTGCCTTGGTGTTGGCAACCGGAAGAAAGAAAGATATCTAAAAAATAAAGCAGTGTTGACACTACAAATCTGTATTACTACTAATAATGTGGAATAGTCTTCAAAAGAAAAACGAATTAACTTAGAAAAATCAGTGAGTATAAAATATTTTTAGATTATAAAATTATAAAATAATATTTTTGACCAAATACAAAAAACAGAAAATAATATCTTAAGTAAAAATTATAAATTTGGTAGAAAACCAAATTTTACCAAAGTATGTTCATTGTTCAAAGTAGTTTCAGAGAAGTCCAGCGTCCACATTGTTCATAAAAATAAATAAAAAAAATATTAAAATTATACATTTAAATAAAATTGGAGTGTCTAAGAGACTTGTCTTTACAATTTTAGGTGTTATACTTTTAACGATTGTTGACCTATTATGTATCAATTTTATTACATTTGCATATTATAGCCATAGAATAACATCATATACCTCAAATGCTTAACATGGCGTTCGTTTCGTTCGCTCGGAGAGGACAAGGAAAGAACTTGTCTCGGAAGTGGTCAATGGGGAGAGAGATAACTATTACCTGATGTTCTTAACCATAACAAGTGCCTTAATAAAAAAATTTATTCTCCCTTTAACGTGTTTTATATGAAAAATAAATCTTTAGGTTTTCTATATTGTGAGGGTATTAAAATTATTTAAGACTAGCAAACCCGGCGAACTCCGTTTCGCCACCAGTAGGCTTCGTTTTATGTAACATCTCGTTTGGATATTAAAAGATGAAGATTTTTTTTGTTTTATATTTTATAAACCTCACGGAGCCCGAGACCTTTCCACCGAATGCAAAACCGTGGAAATCGGTTCGTGTGTTCTGGAGTTATAGCGTCTGGAAGGAAAACCGAACTTATTTTTATAAAGTAGACATATCAATGTATATTTTTTTTTAAACTATGTTTTGACTGCCTCGTTGGCCGAGCAGTTGCAAGTGCAACTGCCGCGCAAGGGGTCTCGGGTACGCGTCCCGGGTCGGGCAAAGTATTACTGAGCTTTTTCAAAAAATCACAGTAGTAGCGCGGAGTGTGGAAATGTGTCCGGTATATGGCAATACCCCCCTATTACATGGGACTCATAGCATAAAATAGTGAAAGGTCGGTGTTACATTGTACTGTGGCGTGTCGTAATGTGCACATTACGGCACTTAATACACAGTAGAGGTGCACCTCTGCCTACCCCTTCGGGGGTAAAAGGCGTGAAGTTATGTTATATTCAGTTCCTAAATACCTAGTTTCGGAATTATACCAACTTTACAGGATTCTCATACATTTCCGGTAACATATACATAAAAATTATAGTAAAATTGTTGAATATTTATTTAATATTTATAAACTTTGACTAGTTATCTCAAAACACGCTTATCTCTGTGTAGGTACCTAATAATGTCCTTTATTTCTTCCTTTATATCGACCTTAGTCCGGCCCCGTTTAAGGTATTTCACGCATGTGTATTTTTGGCATCACATATTTTAGCTAATGTTCGCTCTGCTTCTCCTTGTATAGTTGTATGTCTGTAGTTCGAGCTTGACAGCTGGTTGACAGTTGGTGACCCAAGGCAAACTCTTTTTTGATGCTGTATTCATTGCCGAATGCAAGTTAGAATGTAGGTATTACCAACAAGGACAACAACAACCATTGCTTCTACAGATGCGCGATTTTTTTGGACAAATACTTACTCAATAATAGATCTAGATTGTTTATTACTCCGTGTTTTTATAAAAGTATTTATTTGAAAAGTGAATAAATAGTTGGATAAATGATAATAATGTATCCATTTTAAATATTTATGCGAAAAATCTTCCATCTCTTTTTTCCAACATAATCTCCAACACGTAATTCAAGATAAATTTCTCGTGATCGTGTGCTTCTTCTATGTGAACTAGCCTTATGATTAGCCTCACCTATTCACACCAAATTCACACTTATCACTAATATGATAAAGGTATCCATATATTTATGTTGTCCGTTGAAGAGACACAGAGACAATAATTTTATTGTTTATGCTATATCTATTCTCTAGTCTATGCATTGAGAATTGTCAAAAATTGGATAATGGCCGCGAAACAAAATCCTGTTGTTCAAGAAGGTAAAATTTAGTTTTTAACGTTCCTTATTATTTATTTAAACTTTGTATTAGAGTTCAATTATTGTGTTCTTGCAGTATAAAATCCTTTTACTTATTTAGCTGTTTTTTACAAGGTTAAAAGCTTACTAATGTTTGGGATGTTTTAGAACAAACAACATCTGATGATATTCCACTGACGTCGTTAGAAGAAAGCTTGTTCAGCTCGGAAAAACTTGATCGTGCATCTCCAGAATTATGGCCGGAGCAAAGTAAGATAGATGTTTTATTAAGAATAGCTTTATAATCAAATGTATCAAACATTATTGAATAATAAGTTTTCAAAAATCGCGCGAAATTTTATTTAGTTTCTAATGTTGTCATTCTGTTTAACAAAATGATTTCACCTATTTTGGCTTTTCGGTTATAAACGATCGTTTTTTAAATCAATCTACAATGAGTGAAGATAATGCTAATGTATTGAACTCTGATGAACGATCACAATGTCCTACTTCATCGTTTGCAGTTCCTGGTGTGTCGGAATTTGCCCCCCCGCCGAGTAACAACCAATCTCCTCCGTTGTGGGCTCGGGGAGCTACCAAGGAAGACTTTACCTATATGCAACGTAAGTATCGTTCAAGTTAACAAATAACAATCAAAATTCTAATACATATTATAATATGTCATAAACTTGACTATTGGAGATACCATTCTTGGCAACTTTATCAATTTAGTATTTTCTCTAGGTGCTACTATTGAAATCTGTTATTGTTCTATTATGACCCGAAACTAGTTAACCATTCTATTCTAATTTATGAATATTTGGATATAGGGACAGTCTTTTAATTTTCGCTCTCAATGTCAGCATACCCTTTTATAGAACAACCTTTTTCTTTACAGAATTGGGGTCACTTTCTACTAGTGGACTTATAATGGAAGTTAAGAAGCTACATGACCTTGCTTACCAACTTGGGCTCGAAGAGGCTAAAGAAATGACAAGAGGGAAGTATTTAAATATATTCGCTTCCAGGCGACCACGAGTATACTATTCCAAACCAAATGCCAAATAATGAAATATCAAATCTAGTATAATAATCAATTATTTCTCAAAATACTAATGAAAGGTGATACATAAGATGGAACAAGCCAGTTTGTGTAATCGGTGCTTTGTCTCAAAAAAAAAAACAAAATTATTTTGGAACTTGGTAATCATGTCATTTGGTTCAAAGGAGTTTTCTCTGTCCTGCAGGGATGTGTCTGGTTAAGTTGTAAAGAGCTGTCAAGTATGAGTTATTGTGGCAAAAAGGAAAAACTAGATGATAGTGATCAATGAATTGATATTTAATTATTTGTTATTAAATATGTAGCTGGCATAGTGGACCCGCTGACAACAGCAGTGTCAAATATTGGGACCTACAGGTCCTAACATTTAATTTGTTACATATTGACTAATATTTCTTAGGTAAAAATTAAACTTGTATGTAACTTTTAACCATTTTATTATAATAAAATTAAAATAATAAAGTTAAATGTTAACCTACAATGTAAAATTAGTAGATGCTAATAAATTATTTTAAGTTTACAAAGTATTTTATTAACTAAAACATTACTTGCAACTAGGTACCAGTTAACTGTTGTTAAAATAGCTTCTGTTACTGCAGTTTAAATTCTATCCACGAATCTAATCTTAAGTGCCTTAGTAGGTCTTGATATAAAACTTCTTGTTGATCCAATATCTCCATAATGGTATTCCAGCTTAAACTTTTGGAGAATCTAAAAATTTAGTAAAGCTAGTAAATGAGGCTATGAAACCTGTTGATTTTTTTCTATAAATACAAACACATTCCAATCTATTTAAAAAAGTAAGAATATTAGCTTACCCTGATAGTAAGCAAAGAGAGCATTGTCTCTGCAATGTTCTGGCCCAAACACTTACGGGCTCCAAAACCAAATGGAATAGATGCAAACGCATGATATTCCTTTGCATCACCCTTCAACCACCGCTCAGGGTAGAATACTGATGCATCATCATAGTTTCCTTCTTTGAGAGATGCATCTTGTGTAGACATAATAATAAGGGTGCCACGAGGTATACTGTAAATAGAAATTGAACGGTTTTTATTTACAAAATGATATTTTCATTATACTGAAAGAGAAATTCTAGTAATTCACTTACTTGAATCTGTCAATAGTTATATTTTTTGGTAGGATTCTGGTTAGCACAGGAATTGGTGGAACCAGTCTGAAAACAAAATATATTTATGCATCTTTACAGTTCAGTTTTATTAATATTTTTATGCTCCGTTCCTCAGCTTACCGTAAAGACTCTTTTATACATGCTTGAAGATATGGTGTTTGTTCAATAATCGCCGACATGTTACTTATATTGAGGTCGCCACCAACTTTGTCAATTTCGCTAAATAATATCTTTTGTGCCCTTTGGTATTTCGCTATGTGGTACAAAAGAAAAGACATTGAAGATGTAATCTGAAAGTAATTCATTTTATGATTATTTTAAGTCAAGTTATTTTATAAGCGTATATTATCTACATTATTTATTACAAGGTAAAGTTTGTAAAGAAGAGAACATGCAAAAAGTTTGTATTTTATCTGATAAAATAAAAATGTCTTTTGCCGAAATCTTAACTTACAGTGTTAACTCCAATTAGAAGCATATCCATAATAACTGTAGCAATATCTTCAGCACTCATTTTGTTTTCACCAACCAACATTGCATTGACCAATGAATTATTTTCAAGTGCAAATGCTGAAAATTAAAAATGAATAAAAACAGACTTTCGCAATTTTGACATGTGTTAGGAATTTACATAATTTATACGATTTTTGTCTCGAGTGCATTCACCACAAATGCAATTTCTAAATACACATCACACAATTGTTCCATGCGGAAATCGAACCCGCGATATTTCACACGCAACCCGTTGCCCAACCACCGCGCCAACCGTGCTGTCAAATAATAGACAGTACCTACGTATTTTATTTAGTTGAGAAATTAAATGTAACTCACATTCATCAGATACATTAGAGCGCATATTCTTGAGTTGAACTCCAACAGACTGTTCTGCCTCCAAGACATACTTTCCGATCAAACTGTAAAATTAGTTGCCATTACATTAATTATACAAACAAAGCAAAATAAAAGCTTGTAAATAGATGTAGGTATGTACATATAATATCGGCCTTTGAAGCTGAGACTCGGCCCCTTCCGGACGCTGGAGTACCTTATCAGAGCACTCTAAAATTTTAATTGAGGACACGAAGATGCTCAGCGTAAGCAGAGCCACTAGATGCTCCACCGTCTCCTCCAGGTGGTAAGTCGTAATTCCTATTTCACTTATAAATGTTTTTTTTATCATAGAGTTCGATCTTATACACACTTGTCTAAACTGTCGCAGTATTTGACCAAGGAACTCCAAGTAGGCGTTGGCAGTAGTTTCCAGAACTGCAGTCCGGACTCGCATTTGATGATAGCATCTGTGGCTTTCTCCAGGCTGTGGTACAACCACGACATGTCGCACTGACTGTATACCACCTCCGTATTCAACATGGTAAACTTCTTCGAGAAAAGGATCAATCCTGCAAAATAATAGTAGGTATATTACAGGATTAGGTTCAGGTTAGGTTTGATCCTCAGGAAGGTGAGGAAGAATCAATCCTATGCTCGGCCGACGAGGCAATCCTGGCTCGGATTGACCGAGTGGTCGCAAGCGCGACTGCCGGGCAAGGGGTCTCGGGTTCGATTCCCGGGTAGGGCAAAGTATTCCTGGGATTTTAAAAAATTCTCAGTATTAGCATGGAGTCTGGAATTGTAAAACTAAAATTATAATCTCAACTTAGAAATATTTGAGAAAAGTGCTGGTGACTAAACAAACCCGTATTGTAAACTGAAAACAAACTTGTAAACTTTACCCATACAGTCAAAGGACCACTTATAAATCTCCTTATACAGGTTGTCCGTAATTTCGTCTTGATAGTTTCGTATGTTAAATATCTTCAATGTAAAATTCTCGCACACTTCATTGATGCCACCCATGTGTTTGCTCACCGATTCGTGTAGAGGAGCTACTACAACTTCCCGCTGGCGATGCCATTCCTCGCCGAAACTATAAATAATTATATTAAAGTAGTTATCTTACAGCTATTTTTATTTAATAGCTGGCTCACTAAATATATTTTTAAACAAAATTAATCGAGATGTTGAATTTGTACTTAGTTTTACCAATAGACTTGTTGTCAAAGACTTCGGACAATTTTGGATTTTCAATTACGATGTAATGTAATTACCTAGTTAGCTAGGTAGAAATGGGTACATACTTAGGTATGTACCCATTTCTTAATGGAAAAAAGTACATACAGAGTTATAGAATGTCAAACAACTAACGCGGTAAACGTTCCGCCGTAAATTTGATTCCTGTGCTCAGCTCTATATTTTTCCAAAGAATCCAAATTTGATCTAACGGGATAGCTTCCTTCCATTGCGTACACTTTTTGAATATGTTCTGGGTGATTTATTAAAACTATGTCCCCACCCACAGGGCTAACAAATCGAACTACGGGACCGTATTCATCAAAGAGTGCAGAGAGATTTTTCAGTGGCTTCTTTGCATTCACATAAGTGCCTGTGAAACACATAAGGTAATCAAATACATGTTTAAAAAACAAGAGTTTAAACGGTAGGAAACTTTCATAAAAGGTACTTACCCACATTAAGCATCATCGTGAGAACACCTACTGTGATCTGAGTTCCTATTACCGAAAGATACTGACGGAAATTAGATATATACTTCAAAGATTTCGGCCCAGGTACTTCATCAAAAGGTAAAATAATTGGCTCTCTACTAGTGAGCGCCATCGGTATATGCACCTTGGCTGTTGGAAACATTTCAATTTGTTTGGGAGTTAAACCCACAGACTGCATGCTTGCCTTAGAGTTCTCCATTTCTTGAGATTTCGTAGTCTTTAAAGCAACTTTCTCGTAACATCTGTTCTGAATGTTCATCAATCCTAGTCTTGAGTACGGTAAAAAATTACGCACTTGGCTAAGATACATTTTTGTTATTTAGCTTTTTCTCTTTACTGAGAAATCTACCGTCAGGTAATGTTGGATTTTGACAAATAAAAACAATAGAAAGTTGAATTAATTTGAATTTGGCGCCTGACGTATCTATGAATTGTAGTGGTTGGTAATATAAAAAATAATTTTCAGTTGAAAAATATACCTATTCTATTTTACAGTAACTTGTATTTGTATATTATCTTTAACCCTCATTTGAAGTTTGCAAAGATATTTTCACTTTTATTCCGAAAAATATTGATCGACAATGATTCCGAACGAACAATGCAATGTTGCTGCTATAAAAAAGTGTGCTAATTTTAGTAGTATACCTACCTCCCTGTATTTTTTATCGTTTTGTCCTTGAATTTATTGATAATTTCGATATAACAGTTCCAAGAAATATTATATAATTAAGTAGATGCACAAACCGCTTATAAAATAGTAAAAGTCGGTGACATTTAAGATGATTGTATTAGACACAGTAGAAATTTGATATCCTAGGATGGAAACTTATCTGTCAAAAACTCGATTTGTCGCTTGAACGAAGATTAGCGAAGCGAGTGAGCGAGCTAGCTAAACTGGTAGATGGCGGGAGTGATCTCGTGTGATATAACTGTGTTAGATTAGTTTTTAAATTGTAGTGTTTAATTTTTAGAATAGTTATTAAAATGACTAGGTAAGCCATCCGTAGCATACTTGAGTGTCTATAAGATTCCTAAAAATAACTTGTGTCATGGTTTATCGCACCAAAGTGAAGTGCAATGTCCGTCCTTAATATTATACCATTTTACATTTTTAAGAACACATTTGCCTTTTCAGAGCTAAAATAGAACTCGGCGACGTGACCCCACATAATATAAAACAACTGAAGAAGTTAAACACAGTTGTATTTCCAGTGTCTTACAACGACAAATTCTACAAAGATGTTTTAGAAGCTGGTGAACTAGCTAAGTTAGCATATTATAACGATATCGTGGTGGGAGCAGTATGCTGTAGAATAGACACGTCGGAAAACTCGCGGAGACTTTATATTATGACCTTGGGTTGCTTGTACCCATACAGAAGATTGGGCATTGGTACTCTGATGGTGGAACATGTGCTCAAGTATGTTGAACAAGACGGCAATTTCGACAGTATTTTCTTGTAAGTACCATTTACAATATATTTACAGGCACTACAGTTATATTTTCATGTATTTTTTATAATTTTATAATTGGTATTAGTAGATTGAAGGTTATGAATCTTTATGAGTAGGTGCTGCTAACCAAGCTATTGTCACATTTTATATCAAGTTTATCAGTACATAAACATGCCTAGAGCAGTCAAATAGCCTTTGACTTATCAGTAAATTGATTCTTGGTGTTATAGTCTAAATTCATATTTATAGACCATATTGCTAAACAATGTAGCACTGGGGCATTTACCCAAGCAAATTATGTCAAGGACATGATTATATTAAATTAGTTATTATTAAACTAAATGATGTATTATGCCCGGTGATGGATTTTCATTCAACTCTAAACATAAAGATCTTATCTAGAACATAAAGTGACAAACTTAATATACATTGCAGTTTATTCATATTGATTTATCAAGATTGATATTTATTTATCTGTAATCTGAATCACAAAAGACAAAGTTTTGTAACTCATAAGGATTGTTATTCTTATGTTAATTATGTGAATGTATAATTTATTTTAACAATCAATTTATTTATGAATCCAAAAATATGTAATTATTTCATTCATTTTTATTGATTTATAGATTGTTTACTTATATGATAATTTAGTATTGTCTGCATTCAAGATTAAAACAATTCCAGCTGATAACAGATACCTATACTAGATCATAATATATATTACATTTGACAATGATTGAGCTACAATAAAGAACACAACAGAATTACTTTCACATAAACCAAATTGGATTTCAGTAACTAACTTCCTTGATTTTTTACTGCATTAGAAACTTGTAAATCTAGTGCTATCTATGACTCATATTGTACTATTAAAAGGCAATATAAGCAATCTTTGGGAACAATATTCATATAGTAGGTAGTTAAAGCTAATCATAATGTTATTTAGAACAACATCTCATTAGGGACAAAGTAATACTATCATTAATAAATAGTAATTAACATGCAATTACTGGTGTTAAATGGATATTTCTAATCTATTATTGTTATCCACCCAATTTTAATATCATTATTGAATATACTTATGTTAGAATGAAATACATATTAGACACTTGATTAATTGACTTATTTAATCCTTGAAGTCATAAAACAGTAATTAATCTTTTAAAATTCTAAAATAACTTGCAATGACAAAGAGTTTCCGTAGATGTTGGTAAATCAACAAATTCTGAGAGAGAGTGCAATTTTCAACCAATCAGGAGATGATCAAATCATCCTTCTAGAAGAACAGTGTCAATGTACACTGTACAATGTACAGTTTAGACTAGAATATAATGTGCCCAAGGTAATTGATAAAACATTAATATGTTGGTCCTTATCAGCTATCTTGTCACAATTCAAAGTCCTAATAAACACTTCAGTAAATTGAGAGGACATTTGATTATAATATCAACTGTATCTGTGCTACAGATGTGTCTCAAGATACTTGAGTCAATTTAAGCCCATCAATTTATTCATTTAACTCGACATATCACTGTTCAGATCTCAATGTAGGCCTAGCTGTCTGGGATATTATTATGTTGATGTATTATGTTTAAAAGTATGTAATGGATCATAAATGTATTTAATATGGTTATGGTATAAGTGTTATTTGTTAGGTGTTATTGCCCAAAGAAATTACATTGAGAACTTAAAAATCAAAATGTTCAATAGGAACAATGTAGGGTATAAAAGAGCAATGGTTTTGTAATTAAAAATATACAGGATTCCTGCATGTTAAAAAGAGTTATTAGTAACAAAACCAAGTTGAAATCTGATTTATAATCTAAGTTACCTATTTCAGGCACGTACAAGTGAACAACGAGGGAGCAATAGATTTTTATAAAAAGTTTGGATTTGAGATTGTCGAGACAAAAGAGCACTACTACAAAAGGATAGAGCCAGCTGATGCCCATGTGTTACAGAAGACAATCAGACAGACACCTTCCGTACCTTTACTCAATGGCACTGTACCACATGCTAAAACCAATGGACACGATTGAATACACAACCACACCCAAATATTGTACTTGTAAAAGCCTCAACTCGGTTGTTAATGTGAAACAAGTGATAACATAATGTGTAAGAATCATAATAAAACACTGTGTGCATACAGGATTGATTTACATTAAGATATTTGTAACGGATGGGTTAATCAATAAGTTGTGGTTGTGGACGCATGAGGCCATAAATATAGTACTAGAAATGACTGATATTCCACTCAGTATCATATAAATGTTGTACAGAGTATGTTCATAATAATGCGTGCATATTTCATAAAATGTATTGACTACATTACAATATGCATTACTGTCTAGTACTCTTTACAAGTAACTTTTATGACTTATAATAAAAATAGCATTCAACTTGTAAATTAACCTTTTCATGATTTGAATAAGTATATGTAAAGTAATGGATAATGATAGCTCTAGACATTCTTTTAACTATATCGGACATAAAAATTCTGTCAGTTTTTTACTATACTTGTATATTGTGGTATTTAATAATGTAGTCATAAACTCCCCGTTTTAAAATTAATGTTCTCGAATTCTGAGCGGAAGTGTTAATAATCACCTCGCAATTAATTGGTATTTCATATCAATGCTTTTGTTTTCAAGCAATGAGGAAAGTTAGGGTTTTGATAAATTATACTATTGAACTAAACATTTTTATCGGTGGCTTATTCTTTGCACAACAAAAATAAATTTTATTTAATTAATGTTGAGTTGTACTGAAATTTTTGTTTTGTTAAGATTTTACATGGTCTAATAGCGAGATATTTTTTTATTTCTGAATGGCATCTGTAATATTGGATCCCCACCGCCCGGCGGCACGCGCCTGTGGCCATGCCGCCGGCTTTGTGTGCGGCATTCGCAACAAAGCCGGCGGCATTTTTGTCGGTGATACCGCCAGCAGCGGGGCAACAGTTTGATCACGGCTTTCGATAAGAGCAGTATCGTTTCATATGCGTTGTGTGACATAGTGTATAAAATGACTGACTTTCTGACATGAAAACTCTTGAAGCATTCTGAAAACATCACGCCTATGTCGTAGACTTGGTCTCATACAAATTCTTCTTTTGCTACTTTTTTTCTTTTGATACAAAATGTAGGTACACCAAAATTGCGGCAGCAATTGCAATATTATCGCCCATTTTTGTCACCAGTTTGTAACCATGTAACCATTTTTGTAACCTAACTGCTTACGCTTCTTACTTCACCGAAAGTCACAAGACAACTAAGAATATCGATTCACAGCCGCGCTTACGGCGGCTTTGCTTGTCAACCCGCCGGCAGTACCGCCGGGCTGTGTGGATCCACCATAAGTAGTCATTTTATCATAATGTTGTTACCAAAAAGTCAATTGTCGACCCCCTGTCTTCTCTGTAAATGATGAAGTTTATTAAATATCATGTTCACTGCATCCTTAGCATTATTAGTATAATAAACATGATTAACATATACGATGTTTCATTTATTATTTAGTTGAAAATCATTATGCACTGAGCGATGCATTAGCCTTTTTAAACAATAAAAGATGGAGGAAGTCAGTACGTAGGTCATCTGTTTAAGATCGGTATTTGTGAGGCATGCAAGCATGTCTGAGCTCCATTACATCGTTACTTCGTTATTAGTCTTTCGATTTTTGTGAAGGATCTTTATCGTCACGACATGCATTCACGAATGTTTGAACTAGGTCATCCAATGACTGCTTGTCACTTTATGAGGAAGATAGAAGTCACCGTTCAAAACTTCCAATAGTAAAGGGTTACCTTACACTCTTTCTACAATCATAAATATTCCAGTAGTGGATACGCCATAAGCCTTGTTGATTGAGGATACCTAAATACATATTTTGATAAAATATTTAGTTTCCTGCTGTAGCAGGTATGCATGCCCATAGCCATGCAAAATGCATTCAGGTGATCATGATAAAGGGAAGGTGAGTTTACAATAATGAAATCCTCCTAAACGAATGTGACACTCGCTTTTCGCTAGTGGTGTATCAGTCACTATAATAGTGAAAAGTAGGTGGCTAATAGACTGTAAGAAACAACCACCATATTACGTATTTGCATTCATTTATTAAAATAACATAAGACATTGTACAATATTGTCATTATTGACTAGTTGGTATATTTTCACTATGGACAATAGACCATAACTATTTCGTTTGTGATTATAATATAACATCTATATCCATTTCCATAAGGCCTAATTTCATGTGTCCATCTATTCGAAACACCGATAAATTTATATAGAGATATTAACAGTAAAATGTCGAAGTTTACAATAAGTTCATGTCTTTATGGATATTTTTATTTCTATAAAAATATTATTAAATACATTTTTATTTTACATTTTCATAAATACACAAACAGACAACATTATTTTACATGATGTACTTATTATTCGTGTTTTAGAATACTGTTAGTTATGCTTTCGAAAAGCTTTCAATTCGCTATCACAGACACAGTTTAACTTTGCATTCTTATTGCAACTAACTTTGTAGCTTGTTCTAAATACATAGACAACTAATACAAAGCCAGAGAGTGAATACGAATTACGAATATTAATTAATCAGAAGGCATTGGTTTTATACAAGATAAGTGCACATAATGCAAAGAAAACATGAACTAGATACCTAAACATTGACAATACATGGATATACTTTATTTATTTAACATTTAAAGCAATAATATCGGTACATTTCTACTGTTTAATCAGATACCAAGAGCTATTTAAATAAAACATTGAGTATCTTATACCATAACAAAATATTAGGCATATTCTAAAGCTATGTGTTCTCTAAGACTACTTTGCTATAGAATTTTCAGATTTAAGATAGTTGTACATAAATATTCTAGCTCAACTAAATAAAATATATCATTGAACACAGCTGTGGAAAAATGCTATACATATTATTATGATTGAAAAGAGCTCACGAATAATTTCATTTCTCAAATTTCTTTATCTCATTTTGATACTTTAAACACACATCAAATTTGGACAGTACCACAACAAATTTTGTTGACAAAACTCGATTTTTACAGTCGAGTATATTCCCATGAAGTTTTAAAAACATTATTTAATAAAAATAGTCACATATTCATTCCAAAAAATCAATTTATCAAAAATATACAACGAAGAATTGAGCATTCAATGTTACAACAATTTATTCTCTTCTTGATAAAGACGTGATATTCAGATATGGTCCATTTGGTAAAGGGACAATTTGCTTTTGAAGAAAGGGGTATAAGTAGTAGGAAAAGTTCAAAACATATAAATATAAGAAGCTTTGCTGCGTTGGAACAGAAAGCAAGTTACGTAGGTACAACTATAAAAGTTGGATATATCATCACAATCATTTAGGTGTAATGTGTTAAACAATTCCATTTGTTTATAATAAAATTGTTTCAGTATTATTAAGTTCTATACACAGTTGGAACGGATTCACAAATTGTATCAATAATTTAATTTATAATTAATTTATTACAACTTTCCAATTTAAATAACACATGTTAGGCTCATAAGTATTGGTAAGCAACGAAAACAATGTTAAGAAATAAAAACAAATGTCTTAAGAGTAGCTGCGGAAAATCTCCAATGCGCAATAACCTTTGTCGTAAATGACAGCAAGATGCGCAAAATGTTTCTGTTTTGCGCATCGTTTGCGCAAACATAGCCGCAGTTATTAAACTACTTAAACAAAAAGATTATAACCTCATCATAAAATTAAGTGAAGTACCTTACTAAAATATCAATAAAACACAATCACTGACACTCCTATACAATAAATAGATAAAGCTTCTTTTACAACACATGATTAACCAATCAAATAAAGTTCACAACACTAACGAAGGGAAATGGTAAATATTTAGATATAACAATAAATATGTAATATTACACAACATTAATTTTAACAAAATGCATTTCCCGTAATTTTTTGGTATTATCACATATGGCAATAAGCGACCAAATACGTCTTTCATATTGCCATAAAATTAATACAATATTGTGATGAAAACTAAATAATTAAATTAAGTTTAGGTACCATGAATAATCACCATTGGATTTATTTTCTAGAGACAGACGTACAAATAACAGCAGGTCAACCTATCTATGTTACAATCTATCAAATTTCAACCCTTTCCAGTATGCAATTAAGTTGAATAGTAGGTTATTGTGCTGTTGTCTATACGAATACTGGTTCCATTTGACCCATTTTCATTGTGATTTACGTAAACGAAACGTATTTAAGATAAGTTGTAAATTAAAATACTGAAACTATTGCACACAAAAGGCACCAAACTCAGGACATTGGTGACAACATCACACCGGTTTTATTTAATGCGTGAATTTAACGACTAAGATTTTTTATTCATATTTTTGTATAATAACTATCAAGTGACATATTCAATTTAAATAATATTTTTTACGGTAACTTACGTAAGCCGGTTCGAAAACGGTAGGGATCATGATTATGAGCCCCGGTGTTGCTTGAAACTAGACGAGAATCTTCGAACTAAGTTACAAGTCAGCCATAAAATAATATTATTAAATTGTACTCATGTCTATAATCTTAAATTGACAGTACCGTTCTGTAATTTGGCATTGTTTAATACATCCAGTAACATTTTACATCGATCGTTTACAAAGATCGCTTGAAGAATTTATCAAGTGACAGTTTGTAAGCAAGAATAATTATTAATTACATGAATATTATTTTTGACTTAGATTTTACATTTGGTATTAATATTATCATTTAACAACACACAATTAGAGCTTGAAATATTGCAGTCGCATTACATTGAATTTTCGAATTGGTACATTTAGATATTTTTACCGATAAACCACTTCCCGACATCGATAAGATAACTGGACAAACTTTTCTATTAATCTCGAGTGCAAATTCCTAATCTTCAACGAACATCGTGAAGCTAATTCCTTACAATTTTGGTCAGTGCAAGACTCCATACAGTTCCACCACTATTAGCATTAACAATAAAGACATGCGTAGATGAGGGATCATTCAATTTCATGACAATACAAAGCCTTTGTTAACCATATCAAATAATCATAAAGAGCAGTAATGATCGAGATTCTTTCTTGCTTTCTCTATTAATTGATGATTTTAATACAAAATCTTTAGATAATTCTCGATTAAATCGATCACAATCTAAATATTTTGATTGAATAATTGAATAGCGGTAATAATAGTAGTTTAGTTCTCATTGGATTTTTTACAATATACTGAATAGGTCTTTGTTTTTAGTGGACAAAGTCCCTCATCTTCGCAGTCTTTAGGAATCTAATTTAGTCTAATCAAGCTTAAAGATCGAATTTAGAATCGATACATTTATAGTTAGACAGTTAATTGCCAATTATAATTGAAGACCTTTCCTCTCTTTATCACCACTTCACATAGATTCGACTATAGAACGAATCCCTTAGTGTAACTATCTCATTCACTGAAATGTCGCACTTACTGCCGAGAGAATAAAGTTCATAGTTTAGACAGAATCTCGAAGTAAGTTCACTGCAAAGTAGCACTTACTGGTCGTGTAATAGGGTGTTAGTTAGTTCGTGCCGCGGCTAGGGCCGGCAACAGAGCCCGCACATTCATAACTCGTTGTCCCGCGCGGCCGGCGGCGGCGCCAGCTCCAGCAACTGCTTGATGCGCTCCACGCACAGCTTCGAACCCTCGTTCGCTTCTTTGGCCATCTGGAAATTAAATTAACAATTCATCTTAATATGATTTCTAAATTTAAGTTTTTTTCCCTCATCATTAGTATTCAGTCACATTTCGACAGTATTTAGTTGTTATTTAAGTTAAAGTTATTATTTGACTTCAGTGATAACTAGTAAAAATCTCATCAAAAATCAGTTTAATACTTTTTGAGTTCATCGCGAACACACAAATTAAATAGAGAACCTTCTTTTAATAATCTTCACAGAAATAACGGAACGATAAAAAAATTACTCGTTTAGCATAAATCTCGAGTTTATTAAACTATGTTTATTTCTCAAAAAGATACTTACAAGTGAAAAGTTAAGGAATCCGTGCGGCAATCCCTCTAGTACTTCGATGCCGACCGTGTTGCCGAGGTTCTTCAGCTTCTTGGCAAACATCACGCAGTCGTCTAGACACGGGTCTAAGTGTACAGTCTGTAATACAATAGAAAGGTTTAGTAGTACCTCTTTACGTTATATACTCATTCAGTCATAGTCAGTTCATATGAAATACATCACAATTTTTCGCTAAGTAGTAGAATAGGAACTAAAGTGTCTTGTCCAATAGAATATTTGCGTATACATGAAACTTGTCACATAGACAGTGATAAGACAAATAGAACTTATGCTACATGATCGCCACCTAGTGTGTACAGTGATCTCAAGTTCTTCGCATCGCAGGTTATCAACAGTGTATTTAAACTGACCAAGCGGTCACCGGTGACCGCGACCTATTGTTCTTTAATTGTGTCTATAAAACCGGTACTCGACGAGTTAATTATAATATGTCGTGGTGGCCCGGAGGTTTAAGACATTAAGAGAGGCTTCTCATGCATGAGGGTGCGGGTTCAAAACATTCCAACGGCGAGTACCAATGTGAATCTTTCGAGTTATATGCACTTTCTAAGATTATCTAAACACCACTGACAAACGGTAACAAACGAAAAACATGGTGAGGAAACCTGCGCTTATAATTTCTATTATAAGTTTGTAATCGCCAATCCGCATTAAGCAAGCGTGGTGATTAATGCTCAAACCTTCTCCCTGTGAGAAGAGGCTTTGCTCAGCAGTGGGCATTTATAGGGTGTTGATAAAGATGATGATTTAAATAACATAAGTAAGTTACCAGTATTCTGACAGGCGGGAATTTGGTGAGTAGTTGGTCGTCAGCCCAGTACGGCGACAGTAGCGGGTCGCGCGGCACTGAGAATATAAACTCGTCGGACGGACTGCGGGCTATCAGCGCGTCCAGGTTGGTGCGGGCGGCTAGACTGTGGACAAGTCATATTTTAATTGTATGTGGTATAATATCACCTATAAAATTAGTAGTAGTCCCTCTTATTGTTAGCGACATACGATTGGAATATGAAAATAAATATTTAAAAACAACGGTGATAATTTTAGCCCCAAATAAACTACAGAAAATTAGAAAGCTGGCTACGAAAAAGGATTTGTACATGTTTAAGGACAAGCATAAAGGCCCTGTTACACAATGGGATTAGTTTATTGTTAGCTTAACTGACGAATGATTAATAATTATTTTCCATGCGCAATGTTAAAAAGGCATCAACTTTAAATTCAATTCGTAAAAATGAAGTGCACTTACTCATCTTGCGTAGGTCTAGAGATTGCGTTAGACCCAGTGATGTATGCTAATCTGGAGGACATGGCACCCATGAAACCGGTCGCTGCTTCGCTTATCCTAGTAAAACACGAAGTAATGTAAATAACAGGAAACTTCAGGATTATGAATATATGTGATACGTATGAATTTATTATAATGATGAAACTTCATGAGTGCACAATACATTCAAGTCGAGACTGCCATATAATTAAACTAGCAACCCGCCCCGGCTTCGCACGGGTGCAATATGCATGTATTATACATATAAACCTTCCTTAAGAATCTATTAAAAAAAACCGCATCAAAATCTGTTGTGTTGTTTTAAAGATCTAAGCATACATAGGGACAGACGGCGGATAGCGACTTTGTTTTATACTATGTAGTGATTAATATGCATCCTATTATGTATCTCCTCACTTCGTTTCATTACTTACTCTTTACTCGTAGAAAACTGCAAAATGTATGTAAAACAATCACGGTTAAAGTGGTCAACCGATGTGTAGCAGTTCAAAAACCGTTCTGCGTGTTTTAATCCTCGATGTAAAAAAATAAAAGTCATAGAAATAAATTTTGAATAGACCTAAATATACCTTGTCTTAATCCTCTTTTTACTTTCTTTACTCAAATCATTGTCTTCAACAAGCGGCGGCTCGCCTACTAACGTGCTTGAGTTTTCAGATTCTTCCCTATAACAACAATTTAGTTACATTTTAACAAGACTGTATTAGTCACAAGTTCTCAAACAATGTATGAACACACATTTAGTATCACGTTATTCACTGTATTGAAAGATATATAAATACAGAAAAATTAGGTACAGTCTACCTAGTTATTTCGTAGGTAGGTATAAACATTAATATTGTTTCGGTACAGAGATCGTAACCATTGTTTGGCTACTGAGCTGATCAATGGTAACAAAAGATACATTATGGCTCCATTAAAAACTATTTTTTTTTATTTTACCAAATAACTGTGCAGACTGTATTTAATACTATCATTATAGTTTAGCTACTGTACTTTAGTTATGGGTATGATTACGATAAGTTCCATGCAGTCTTTGTACAATAAATGTATGAAATGTTCATTATGATTGATTTATAATAGTTATCAATACATAGTATAAAACAAAGTTGCTTTCGCTGTATGTCCGTATGTATGCTTAGATCTTTAAAACTACGCAACGGATTTTGACGCGGTTTTTTTTAATAGATAGAGTGATTCTTAAGGAAGGTTTGTATGTATAATAAATGCATATTGCACCCGTGCGAAGCCGGGGCGGGTCGCTAGTAATGCTAATATAAGCATATGGCTAATACAGTGAAACTTGGTTAAGTGGGACCTGGATAAGTGAGAAACCTCCATAACTGGAACTCATACTGAGGTCCCAACACTTTGGCACTGAATAACCTCTGTTAGTGGGACGAGGTAAACCTCTATATCTGGGATTTGTTCTTTCGATTTATCATCATAGTTACCTCTATAACTGAGACAGCGAGTAAATTTTATATGCATAAACCTCTGTAACTGAGATAAAATTGTTTGTTTACTCATTCTTATTCTACCCACAAATTCCACACGTAATCCCAAGTCCACCTCTATTAATGGAACCCTCTGTAAATGAGACAGATATATTTATTTATACCTGTATAACTGAGACACTGGGTAAGTGGAATACCTCTATAAGTGAAACGACATTGTAGGTCCCTTGATGTCTCACTTAACCAGGTTTCACTGTATAAACAATACTACTACAAATACTATGACGAGTACAAACGAAATAAAATCATTGCTTTATCAATCATACCATTGAAAAATGAATCTTTAAACTAGTTGTGTATAGTCCATAATTATTTTACACATAAACACACAAATACAAACATTCCTTCGTAACATAACTAGAAAACACAAAGGAAATTGGACCTTATTGCTCTAGTATTACCTGTGAGATTCGTCGTAAGCCCTCGCGTTAGGTTTGATGATGGGTATCCTGCGTCCTTCGGAGTCAGTGTCGCTATCCAACACGTACCTCTCTAGGAAGTCCGATACGTACTTCTGAGATTTATCCTCCGGTGGGGTGATACCTGGGGATAAGAAAAATAGAATGGAATAATTTAATTTATCAAGAATTTAACAGCGACTTGACTACATTATTTTTGTTATTGCTTTGTGGTCGAGTAGTTGCAATAGTGCGACTGCAGAGCAAAAAGGTATAAGTAGAGTTTTTTTTTAAGGGGCAAATCATCGAATAACTGCTCCTACCTGGGTGAGGCGGGAGGTAGTGTCAGACTCTTACTGACTAAAAACCACCCCGTTCCTTCTCCTGCACGTCGAGCCGTAACCCCGGTAACCCGTTAGGTTCTCCGCGACTCCGAATCGGCATCGGCCCTACTGGGCCCCATCTGTGGTGGTCTAATGGCTCTTTGAGGCGCGCGCGGAATGCGGCGCGCCGTACGCTCGGGGTATAAGTAGAGTTAGAGGTGTTATTTTTCAATGTTTGGAAAGTTCTCAGTAGCACTGAACCTGGCATTGTCCCAGAGATTTTGCCATTAAGCTCACCTCTATTGTAATAAATGGTTGGTACCGTATACGTAACTTTTGCTTAGCCATTCGATGACGATGCTTATTATGTAAATATGTTTTAGAGGACCTGTCAACTGATCTGCAGTAAAAACAAAAAGCGGTGTCATTTATTCACCTGTAGCCGTATGTTCGCTCTGCAGCGAGGCGGCGCTGATGGTAGTGTCTGAAGACTTCCTCCGCTCACTGCCAGACTTGTGAGCTTGTAGCTCGGCCAAGTCGGATGGAGATACCTCCTCGAATGATGACGGGCCTTCGCTTATACCTTCTGCCAAATGATTATATACTTTATTATGTGGTTGGTAAGGTCTATATTTGGTAAGGTCCATAAGAAATTATGGGGCGTGCTTTTACATTTACTTAGTGCCTTATTACACTGGATCGTAAACTCAATTCATGGACACGTCTTCCTATACAAACGTTCTAAGTTCCTTAAGGCTTCAAGGGATATTAAATAAACAAATGAGAAATGAGAACAATCTCTAAGTTACCTACTCTCATTTCTAAACAACTAACGAATCGTGAGAAACTTACCTTGAGAAGGACTGACTCTAAGGAAGCCATTGCTATCAAGCGGCGTCGTGGCACAGGACACAATCTGGTTGTGACCTCCATTGTGTCTGTCCTCCTTGCTTTTACCACCATCAGACTTATTACTGGGACTGGCATATGCTGAAAATAATAGATAATATATAAATATCAACATATCACAACGACTTCCAGATCGATTCCATTTATAGTGGTTTTTTTTAAAGAGGGAAAATCATCGAATGACTGCTCCCGCCTGGGTGAGGCGGGAGGGAATGTCAAACTCTTACTGACTAAAAACCACCCCGTTCCTTCTCCTACACGTCGAGCCGGAGCCCCGGTAACCCGTTATGTTCTCCGCGATATTTATAATGGGTATGATGATATTTTATCATACAACGAAACATCCTCTGCCTCGTTGGCCGAGTGGTCGCAACTTCGTAAGTGCGACGGCCGGACAAGGGTGTTGGATTCGATTCCCAGGTCGGGCAAAGTATAGCTAGGTTTTTAAAAATTCTCAGTAGCAGCACAGAGTTTGGGATTTGTGCCCGGTATATGGCGGTATATTGTGATAAGTAGGTGTTACATTGTACAGTGGCATTAAGTGCCGTAATGTGCACCTCTGCCTACCCCTTCGGGGTGGTGATGATGAAGGAATATCCTACATTTTACAGTAGAGGCTAAGATGCGTTCATATTAAAAAACAAAATGTCATGACTATCGGGAATATCCACTCGACAATAGAGACTCTCAGTCTGAATAGATCAATAGAATAAAATAAAATTACACGAATTTGCGGTTACTGTTGTGTATTATTGTGTTTATTTTGTATGATAGACCATGATTAAACTGTCAAACACCAAGCGGTCACCGGTGACCGCGACCTATTGTTCTTTAATTGTGTCTATAAAACCGGTACTCGACGAGTTAAATAAAAATTCTATATTTGGCTTAAAATACAACTATCCCTAAACAAATATAGCTTATTGACTTGTCATTCAAAATCAAACATTAGTGTTTATGAAATAAAGTTGACAAACCGTACACAAAACTTTATCACACAAAATATTATATATAACACAAAATATTTTGTGTTAACAGGATAAAGTTAACAAACCCTTGACACAGACAGTTACAAAATAATTGCCATTTAATTTTAAACCATATTTTTAACAGCGTAAAGTATACAAACCTTTGAGACACCTCATCATGAAGCCAAAAGGTAATACAGGGTCCATTAGACATAACAATCTTGCCGGACTTGGTACAAAGCTGATCATGAGTGGGGCGTATGCTAGGAACATGCCATCTGGTCTCCGAAGGCCTGTCGTTAATATCTTCAGTGTACAGGCAGCTACTAAGTTCGCACCGGCTGAGTCACCCGCGAATACTATTCGTTTACCTGTGGAAATAAGGTTTATTTTAGTCTATTATTCAAATGTATATTTGACGCAAATAGTCTTGTTCGCAATTCAGTTGAACAAAACCGCAATAAACAGGGGAAACAATTTGATGTTAAATAAAGCTACCCAATAAATAAATCTGAAGACTGCCGACACAAATCCTTCAATGATATTACGCATTGCTGTATTCTTTATTCTTTTGCGCTGCGACGTACCATAGGCTTTTTTGTGTGTTCCTAAATTCTTGTTGTGTGTCGTAGCAAAATTAATGGTTTTTCTTTCTGTCTTCTTTCTTTCTGTACGCCGATATTCATCAGACAGATTTCAAAATGAACCCTTTTGCAAACTGATAGTAATAGTTAATTCTTGAGAATAATCATAGATTTTTTATTGAGTAGCACTCTTTTACACGCCCTGTGAGTGAAACTGCAAAAAACTCGGTATAAAACAACTTACCAGTAGTGCCAATCTCCTTGAAATGAGTGAGCATCCAGCAGTAAGCGTAGAATACTTCTTCTAAAGCCCTCGGGAAGGGAGCTTGGGGTGCTAAACTGTAGTCCACTGACAGTATAGGCACGTTCAGCTTAGCCGCCCAATCCCGCAGATATGTTTCATGGGACTTTGAACTTTGTGCCACAAACCCACCTCCGTGGCAGTGGAAGAGGACTCCGTCTGATGGTGGGAAGGATGATGATCCTTCGCCTGCCTGTATATAATGTACTAGATATAGTTAATAGGTACAAATAGTATTTTCAAACTTGTCATGGGAATATTGTTTGCCATGGCATAAATACATCAGTTGTAGAACTAAATCCAAATATTATATTCGAGTAACATAAAATTAATATTATATTTATGAATTTAGAAGAACAATAGAGTACTACTCATTCTAAGAAGTCAATCTATTTAAATGGTCTATACTAGATACTATGTAGTATTCATCCTAACTTCTAGTAAGGCTAGAAAATATGAGCAATGGAGTGAGAGCTACATGGATCATGGTCATTGTAAATCTATCAAAGTCCTCTAATTTATTTAGGGTGTAAATATTATTGGGCTACTTCAAACAAAGGGAGAAAATTTTTACCTTTATCTCAGGGGGAAGCTGCAGTGGTTATCAAAAATAAATTACATTTAAATATATCCTAATTTTTATTGTGACTATATTTCAACTTTGTAAATAGTAATTGAAACAAACATTGAACTCTTTTCGACCTAAATAAAAATAACTAATTACCATATACGAGGCCCAATTGCCTACCTAATCCCTAACAATCCTCCAATTCGTTATCTCCAAAAGGCCGGTAACGCATTTGTAACACCGCTGATGTTTCGGTTGTCCATGGGCGACGCCGATTGCTTACCATCAGGTGATCAATCTGCTCATTTACCAGGTTATTCCATAAAAAAATAATATTCACTGACAATAAATAAAATGTTGCATGTATTATTCTGCCCAGTAAACCAGTTTGATCTTGTTTACGTTGGATTTTTGACGTTAAAAATTGCCTTTCTGGTCTAATTGAAATAAATGATTTTGACTTTGATTTTGATCTGCACATCCTAAGTTATTTTCCAACCAAAATAAATGTTTGATTACACTTTTGTATTTAAACAACACTTTCTCGTTTTACTCACCATCCCAATCCTCTTGTTTGCACTGATGAGTCTAACATTCAATCCTTGTAAGCCTATGTGTACTGTGGGCGGTAGTACTGTGATTTCCTTGTAATCGATTGTGTTCACTACAATGGGCTCTGGAGGAATTGTTATGAGCTTGTTCACAGCTACCGGTGGCGACATTAGACTTGGTACTCTCTTCATTATCTCTGTAACAAATACCGTCATATAAACATTAATTGCAAACATATTTATGTTATGTGGTAGAGCTATGCATTGGCATAAACGGGCCGGCTCGACCGGAGTGATACCACGGTCTCACAGAAAATGGCGTTGTTTCACGTCATGGCAGCAGCACTCTCCGATAACCAGAAACTGAACTGCTATTTTCAAGCCGGCAGCCATACGAGGACATTATGACGAACGTTCATATGTAGAGAAGGCCCATATAATGTATGTATATCTATGTAAGCGATATTGCTAAAATAAGTATTTTTAAAACCTTCAATTGGCTTTCTGCAGTAGGTAAGAAACATTGGACATGGAATTATGCTATTAAATTAGATGAGTAGGTACAAAATTATGTATTTATTGACTTAAGAATGAAACTGGATGACTAACTATTATAAATTGCCATATAAGCCAAATATATGGACAAGACAGATTAAGGAAAGAGGAAAACACAAGGTAAACCCTTAACAGCTTGGCAATAACTGCATTAAATGGTACATAGACTTTAGGACTTTTTGTCTGGATTACTGAATATATAATACGACAGTTAACATTGCACACTATAATTTTTAAACCGGGTCTTAATGAATGGAAACATTATTAATATAACGGTGCACGCTGCCGCGAAATATACGGTATTCGCCCACTATTTAATAGCGTTAGTTACAAATATGGAACAAAGGCATTGACGTGGCTGAGTCACTTAAATTCATTGATTTTTCTCTAAAGAGATTTAAAACATTTTGCTGAATTACCGTAATTGTGTGGGAGAACCATGTTTCGGCACGAATGGGCCGGGTCGACCGGAGTGATACCACGGCCTCACAGAAAACCGACGTGAAGCAACGCTTGCGTTATGTTTCGTCGTGTGAGTAAGGTTCCCAGAGGCCCAATTACCCTCCTGAATCCCCAACGATCCTCAAACTCCTAATCCCCAAAAGGCCGGTAACGCACTTTTAATGCCTCTGGTGTTCCAGGTGTCCATGGGCGACGCCGGTTGCTTACCATCAGGTGATCCGTCTGCTCGTTTACCGGCTTATGTCATAAAAAAAATTAGGGATTTGGACTTTGTCGTCTGGTTATACGGTTCGCATTTCATTAGCTTTCTGTTATTACGTCTTTTCCATACAAAATTTACCTAATTGCGTAATTTTTGGAGATACAAAACTTTTGCATCACTCCTTAATAAACTGATAGTTAGGTTGGCCTTATTTATGTAAATATAACTACTTCAAGTCTTCAAGTATGTTTGTTTTCCTTATGTTGTATTGTGGCGAGAGTATAATATTAGAAGCACGTACGCAAATTATACGTAGAAAATCACGTTTGATACGATCGCAATTTATAAACAAATCGCTTGTATTTACGGCTAAAAGTAATTCAATACGCGTTAAACGTCACGAATTGGACGATAACATAAATCTATCACTAAACATTTATAGAGATAATGAATTTCATGCTAGCATTGATGGGATACTAATCTAGACATATACATACTAATTAGAAAGTAAGAATTGTATTGGAAAGTTCCCAAAAACTGCCTCATCTAAAGTGTGAATTTTTTATTATGGCAATGTATTGATCATTCTTTAGTAGCGACATGAAACTTGTAAGTAATAGACTCTTACATGGAACTGATAATAATTATGTTTTCGGTTTACTCACGTAATTGTAAACATAATAATTACGTATATTACAATAATCACTGCGTCATTGGTCGCAAGTGCGACTGCCGGGCAAGGAGTCTCGGGTTCGATTCCCGGGTCGGGCAAAGTATTACTGAGTTTAAAAAAAATCTCAGTAGTAGCACGGAGTCTGGAAATGTGCCCGGTATATGGCAATAGGCTCACCCCCTAATACATGGGATTCATTACATGAAATAGTGAAAAGTGGGTGTTACATTGTACAGTACTGGCATTAGGTGCCGTAATGTGCACCTCTGCCTACCCCTTCGGGGATAAAATGCGTGGAGTTAAGTTATAATAATCACATAATTTAGTATGTCTCACGAAAGTTATAATATGAACTGATAATTGCCGATAAATTGGTCTGAAACACCTAAATACTATAAAATGGGTCCTTCGAGGAACATTAAGCGTGATTATACCTACATTGCAACCATATACCATGATGAAAGAACAAGAAAAATTGGACAGTGTCGTTATGGAACGCACAGATAAGTATTATGCATCGCAAATTACTATAAAGTAATAACAACTTGATGTTAAGAACGTTCGCACAGAAACATCCGTGTTACTACTTAGTACGATATGATAATATGTATTAGTTGTCTAGAGCTCAATTAGAATGTACCTAGTATCTATCTATGTACTCGTAATTATGATATAAGGATACGTAAGCCAGCGAATAAATACACAACTCTGATACACGTGTGAAATAGACTTGTGTATCTACTTAATGAATTCATATCTAATTTGTTGATAACCTTTAAACATTAAGTTACAAAATTCGTATTTTAATGGAAATCTCTTATCGTTAATGGACCCTTTGGAACTTCTAACATGAGTAATAAAAAAATCTGTATCCGTTTTCAAGAAACGAGTCTATCAAAATGAGTTCAACCATTTAACAGATATGAGGTAACATGCAGACAGAAAGATAATTTTCTAGTGATTATTTAATAGGTATTGAATGAAGATAACTTTGATATTGTTAGCCTTGAACTCGGCGACATATTTACGAAACTATCACAATGACCCTAATATAGACTCGTGTTTTTCATTAAATCACGCGTGCTATTCTAGTCTAGTAGGATTTTCTTAGCATGGGTACAAATTGTGAAATGTTTTGTACGACCTGCAAGGTAAGGTACATTAATATAGGTATTCTTTCCAGCTTAAACATTAGGCTCTTTAATAAGTAGATGTATTGTAGTGTAGGAACCTAATAGGATCAATTTATTAAAATTGTCTAGTTGAGTATGGTACGTACGTCATATTTACACATAGTACTAAGATTAAATTAGTCACAACGTTTATAATATGGGATAAATACACTAAGTTAATAGGACAAATGGATACGGGAAAACACCTATTTCTAGACCTGAATGGAATTGAAATGACTATTCATTTGTTATGAGGCAAACGCGTCATATTTCGAGAATGTCATTAAAATCAATTGAGGAAAACGTTTTGTTAAGTACTTTCGTGTGTGTGGGCGATTGTGCACCGTCAATTTCATTGCTACAATACATACGTATGTTTCGTTTATTGTATTGCTGTTGTCACTCTTGTATGCGCAATATATGTCTGGTTTCAAGGTTCGAACAATAAATACGGTGACGTATAAAATAAAATGTTTTTTATTTAAACAAATAGACGAAACAGAAATAACCAGCAAACCATAAAGAAACACCTTAAAAATAAAAGACAAACGGCTAGGTTTATACATTAATTATTATGTTTTTTGGTGGTTTGCTGTTTGGTGAGGAACCAGACTAGTTTAAAGCCATGCTGCTTATGAATACATTAAATAAATATAATAATTAATTTATTATGTCTCACGAAACTTATAATATAATATCTAAACATAGCTAGATTTCCCTTACTAAACATGACGTGTAATTCTAAATCCTTACTAATATTATAAATTGGAAAGTGAGTTTGTTTGTTTGTTTGTTCCGCTTTCACGCCGATACTACTAAACCGATTGCTTTGAATTTTTGCAGACGTGAAGTTAGAAGTCTGGGTTTAAATAATAGGGTACTTTTTATCCCGGAAAAACTGATATTCCCGAGGGAAAACAAAAGTATTGATATAGATGGCGCTGTGTGTATTGGTATATGTCACATAGGCTACTTTTTATCTTTTTGTGATGCGAGCGAAGCCGCGGGTAAAAAAGCTAGTTAGGAATAATAATAAACATACCACTTTCAGCCAGAAACCAGAACGCCTTGCAGAACTCTATATTCGCAGACTGAGATATGTTAACGATCCTCCTTGCTCTCATCTCAGGGTCGATGAGGTACTGGCCACCAGTCCACACGGAGCTGATGAGGTTACCATGGCAATAGTAAGCCTCGGAGAAACCCGCCATACATATTGATATGCCTTTCAATATGCCACGCATGGATGGAAGAAACTGCAATAGAATATAAAGATTAAGGCAAAGGTGGGTTTGAAGGTCTTTTTTAGAACTTGTGAATAGTTAAAGCTATAGTTTAATACAGCGAACGTGAGATTTTTGTAGAATTAAATTAAGTGCCAGAAAATCAGGTTTATCGCTTTCACTGCATTTAATATGATGTTAATATTGCATAACTATTTATTTATACCCTGTTGCACGGTTCATGATTATCGACCACTTATTTCATTATTATTATTACAAGTTGTATATGTATTACAAACCGCGTACAAATATTCCATTAAAACAGTTTTATTATTTACAAATAAAAAAGTAATTATAAATAACAGTATTCGAGTTAACTCTTCAGGACGATAATTCTGAACTTCGTCTCTAGTCAATTAACAATTCTATTCCAACTTGTTTGCAATTCATTGAGTTACTAATTGGACTTTGGACTTTAGCTAATTCTCGATTGGCACTCGACCAAATTCTGTCGAAAAAGGCCACAATTTAAAATCTTAAAATATTCAATCTTCCGCACAGATGCTGTATTTTAATTCTACTAACCCTAGCTAAAGAGAATAAACTATGAAAGATTTCATATCAATAGAACTAAAACGTGTTTAAAAATACAGAAGTGCTATTTGTTACAATTGCCAATCCTTGTATTAAAAACATTTAAGCAATAAAATATTGGTGGGACTAACATTATTTACTGCAGTAAAAAGTAACTTAGGTACGACACTTTATTCAAAACTTACGTTAATCAGCTGCGTTTGAACTTGAAATCAGGATAAACAAACAACATTATACAACAATAATACCAAGTATCATACAAGTCTACATTAACCAGATTCAACTTACTTGAAACCCGAGACACCTTCCATAGAAACAATACTGATTAATGGTGTCGGCTTGCGCAAACAACTCCTCGGGCGTGTGAGGTTCAGTAGGGAACAGTTCTCCTGGTGGTGCCCATGACAACAGCGTGTGTAGGTGATGGAGACACGTGCCAAGTGAAGCAAGAAGCTGCCCGCAGGATTCTATCTCCCTAAAACATGGAAAATGGCGGCTTTATTTTGCGCAAGGGTTGCGCAATCGACAAGTCGTGTCGACAGGTTGACCCATCTTGTCCGATACAAGGGATTTTACGTGTCTAAATTCGCACTAATCCTTTAAACTAAAGGCGTGATTGTAATTAAGCCATAACGTAACAATACTAAGTGAGCTGTGGGTGTACCCAATATTACGAATTTGCACCCCATAAGGATTTTTTACACATATTGATACATTTAATCTGTTTGCTGCCATTTATGATAGCAAACAATATCAGGTGATCCTTTATTAAAATGTACAATTGGTACGCAGAGGAAAACCAAATAGTGCAAAGGGGTTTAAGCTCCTTAATCACATTAGTGTTCACTGAGAGCAACGACTCGGTAGTCTTTATTTAAATGAAGTTTTACAGTACATTTTACTGTGTTTAAATTCGACGAGACATACGAGACTTTCCACGCGCATTTTGCCCACATTTAAGCTCTTTTGTTTACCCTACAATACTGCGAAAATAAAGCGCTGACGTAAGAGCTGTCAGATCAATTATTTACAGTAGATGATCAGTAGCGCATTGCATTTTCAAAGTCAATACTAATTTTAGAGGTAAATTGCATTGACACAAATTGTTATTCAAACTGTATGGAAGTTTTCATTAACTATGCATATGCAGGTTAAAGGCAATAAGCTGTACAAACAAATATAAGTAAAAGCTGAATAGAAAAATATAAGTGCATTATCCAAAAGCGATATTGAAGCATAAAATTTTCTAGCGTACGATGTCCGTTAAAAACACGCTGTAGTAATTAATGGTTTTGCAACCGACTAAAATTCAACAATTATTATTAATACACAAAAATATTCAATGATTAATATCTGTCAGTTAGTTTTTCTTTAACTGCGTAGCCTTGGATATAAACAAGCTATTCTATACCAAGTATGTGCAGTAATTCTGCAGAGAAGAGACACACGCAGTGACTATTGTGTCTCAGAGTATTTGGAACGAACACGTCAATAAAAAGCTACTCGTTTTCTCCGTTGTAGGTCATGGGTGGCATAGATTTTAAATAAAGGACGTATGAAACTCGGAAGTGGTAATGAATATTGTAAGGCAAAACTTGTTATTGTTTATTTTTTAAGTTTTTCTTCTATAATAAATTGTTTAGCAAAGGTTGGAGTCTTTCCATAGTATGTAAAAAGGAAGAGAGAGTACAGGCTATGCGGGAGTTTGTATAAAACAATCGTATTAGAGTAAGGATTTTAATGAATAATGAAACAGTTAGTTTAGAATTGTTAAATAATGCTTTAATAAAAAAAAATTAGGTCAGTAGAATGTTGAAAGAATAAAAATATTTAAAGGTATAATCATTATGTTTATTGTTGCCAATGCTTAAAGTATTCTATCCACCAAATATATTGCAATTAAGCGTCTGAAAGTTGGCATCAGTTTTCATGAACAATAATACTACTTGCATGTACTCGAAATATTTGAATATCTTGGCCAAATCGATTTATGTGACACTTCTCTTGTCGACAACAATAAACTAGGTAATATAGACCTTATTGGCGTATACAGTTAAGTATATTTTAGATCAGCATTGTGTTCGAAATTGGGTCGCAAGTCTCAACAGCATACAATTGTTATTTACCAATATTTTTCTAACAACGTTACGTTGTCGTCGAGTTCTAGAGTTATGAAAAAAATCCCGTAGCTGTATCACATTTGGTTCGCCCCCTATATTATGTATTTATATGACTCAGCGAAACTAGTAAAAAGTGGGCGTATAAATGCACCTCTAGTAAGAGAAGGAGGCGTGAGCGATATGTATGTATTTACATATATTATGTAAAAGTAATCGCTGTAAGTGTTTGCTTTAGTCATAAGTAGATAGAAATCAAAGAGCCAATGAATTAGTCATCAGTGGATAGATGTAGGTAAATACGGCAACAACCTTGATCTCCTTGTTGCCACAAGTGGCAAAAAACTGAATAATACATAACTAGCCTGTGGTTAACAAGCGAAAAGTACCAACATGTATTAATTTCACGATTGCTTTACCTACCATTGGAAAATAGACCTTAACTCACATGTTGAAGATACATTTCATGTAAACGTTTAAGTGAATGACAAGAACAATTGCTACTTAGTGCCAATCACTTTGAATATTAGCAGAAGAGCATGAAATTAAGCCTTTTTGATGATATTACGTAAATTATGTTACGAAGACTGTACTGTCGTGTGATTTTATTGAAAGAGGCCGACCTTCAGTCTCTATTGAATTCATTTTTTAATCTTGAATAATGACTGCTGGAAAATTTTAGTTCTGAGACGTTCTACGCGTTAGTAACAAGGTAATATAGCGCAGATTAACTGGCTATAAATAGTTTTTTTTTAAGAAATAGAACCTACGCGATGACTTACGAACCTCTTCTTTCTTTCGAAATAGAAGTAGTATTGAACCAATAAAATACACCTCGAAAAAAAAGATTATAAATGTTAGGTACATTAATTATGTCGTACGGTTTACTCACGTAAATGTTTGACGGTAACTCGACTACTTTCAAGTCAGGCCAGGGGCTCATAGTCATGAGCAGGGTTGTGCGATAAAGGACACAGTAAGTCACACGTTTCAGTTCTGCACTTTTAAAGAGTCTTATATTATACTATTTTAAATAGGTAAGTACTTACTTGACGAAATGTCCCTTTCGAAATAAGAGTGCGTCTCTACTAGTATTAACTTGTCTGCTAAGTTTTAAACCATGTAGTACACATGAATCGACCACTGAAACGAAGCTGCGGTATCCATTGCCTGGCGATTTAGAATCGAAGTCGTATTGTGGAGCCACCTAAAACAAACCATTATTTATTTAGGACAATATAAATGAAAAGTGTAAATTTGATTCAATTTGTGTTTGGGCCACGACTTTATTGGGCTGCAAGTTGCCCCAATTATAAACAAGAGAAATCAGTCCCACATATATAACTAAAAGATAACAGCCCATTTCAATAAAAAACCCCTACTGATTTCATTAATTTTTTCGATACTTCTTAATTAAGCCATTCTTTCACGTAATAATCATTGTTGAAATAATTGAGTTGTGGTTCAACCCCTACTAATCTCATTAATATTATTATATACTTTTTATTAAAGTCATTTTTTTAGACTTCAGAGTTTTTTTGAAGATTGTAGGGTAGCACATTTAATAAAGTAAAACCGTATGCAAGCAAGAGTTTCTCTTCTTACAAATAGTCTAGTAATAAAACATTATTATTGTTTTGTTTTTCAATAGCATTGTTATATAGACATAGACATGTCAGTAGCGATTTTATTGTCTTAGCAATTTTGACAGTCTTGAGGGTACGTAACATGCAGTTATATGTAGGTATTCATAGTTTGTGTAGGTATTTTTAGTGGTTTCTATGTAAGACTTCTATATTTTTAACAATAAACAAATAACATTTTCCATTAGACTAATTTTAGCATTTTAACAGGACAAATATTTATGTACCTACATTTTAGATTCTAACTGTTTTTCCTTGAATAATATTTAAACATTAAAACAAACAATATTACATAGTAATACTTTAAAATTTGAATTTTATAATGCAGTGTGTAAATTCTTGTAATCTTGTCAAAATCCAATATTTCAATTGAAACACCTATGTATAACTACATCTCAATCTCAATAACATGTACTTATAATCACAAATCATTGATAAGATAATGAAATGCCAGATCTATTATAGTTATTATTTCTTTTAACAGTATAATATTTCCATATAACATTCTTGTATCATTAGGAACATTAATCTGTCAAACACCAAGCGGTCACCGGTGACCGCGACCTATTGTTCTTTAATTGTGTCTATAAAACCGGTACTCGACGAGTTAAAGAAGTTTCTAATTTAAATTAACTAGGTACTAGAAAACAATTAAAAGTAATAAATACCCTACAAGATATATATCTTGAAGAGGTAATAAAATAGTTGCATTTTCAGTGTAATGGTGTTCTTATCTAGGAAATTTATCAGACATAATGTAATAGCATAATTAAAATGTACAGTGTGTTTACCCGGATGAATCACTAAATGGACAAAGTTCATACATTGACTGTGTATGATCAATTTTTTGTGTAAAAACATCTAGTATGAAGAATACCCACATGTGTCTTATCTCATCATGTGATTCAAGTATGTTTAGAACATCTGGTGCTAACACTTGTTTGTTATGATAACATTGTGTTGTGCAATGAATTAGAAGAGAAAAACAGCCTCCATAGACTAAAAAAAATACACTTTTTCTTTTTTCAAAACTTTCTTAATGAAATAGTTTTTAAAATTTTTTTTTTATCAAATAATAGGTATTACTATTATAATTAAAAGGCCATTTACAATAATTAATCATTCATTCATTGATATTTTATAGAAGACACTGATTAGATAAATTCCAAAATTGGTTGAAAGGTATTAAAATACTTTTAATTATAATCATATAAACAAGGATGTGCAATAAATAATTTTACAGTTTGATTGTAAACTAAGGGTGTTTATGTAACTGGTGGCTTTGTGTGAATCTGGTTAAATCCTTTTATTATGCATGTAGAATGAATTAGAGAGTCTTTGCAAATGGTTGTAGCTCTACTGACTGACCTCATTATTATGTGAATAGAATATTAAACTAGACTTTTATGTATGAGTACAGATTTTAGATGCAAACAGCAATGCCACTTTCAAAATACGAATTGTTGTATGAAATGTTTGTACATACCTTCCTCACATGATCTACCAAAGGCCACACAGTGTCTACATGGTCCATGAGGGTCATGAAGCCCTGGTACAATCTCTGCCCATTCTCGCTGTCGTCCGGTTGAAAATAGGTCGCGTTGTTTTGGCACGAATCTTTTAATGCCTCGTACATCGCATACGTTGGTGCACCACCATCCTGTGATATCTCACAGCACAGCGAAGCTTTCGCCGGTGACTCCGAAAAGGCCATTTTCGATATAACCCTTTTCCCGTAACGCAAACCGCGTATAAAGAACTTAATCCTCATCTGTAACGATTTTATTATAAACAACTGACGCACTTATTTTTTATGCAAAAAAATCATACCAATCGAAAATATAATTACAAAATAGTTCGCGGGAAAATTTTGTTTTCATTGCACCATAATTAATTTACAATTTCATTCATCGGCCGTTTAAGCAACACAGACTATAATGAATGTAAATTTTTATCGTTCCGTTGCGATCGAGTATTGAATACAGTTTGAGTATTTGACATGAGATTTTTTATTTATGTCAATTTGCTTCATTGACATATTGACAGCTGTTTGAGGTTTGTTGGTTTTCAGTTTTTCGTGATATTGAAGCTGGCAACATTAAACGAAACAAGTTTTAAAATGATTTTTATTAGTTACCTACCTATCTCCGTTTGAGTATTATAGCAATAATATTGTGATTTTCAAAAAACTTTCAATATTTCAGTCAGTAGACAGTTTTAGATGATTACTTAGAACACAGAGAACAAAGAGGTAATTAATTTTTTATGATTTTTTTGTGAGAGTAACATTATTATCATTTTGAAGGATGATGTAGATGATAGCTGTCAAAATCAAATTGAATTGAGGCCGACTTCATTGTCGTGCATTTGGATTACAAAAATAAAAATAATGAAAAAAATATCGTTTTTTCAATGAAAATGGGTGAACTTTCGATAGAAATGGATCAAGTGGATGTCGGTGAATTTAATAATCCAAGTGAAGCTACTGCTAGTAACGTAGAAAATGGAGAAAACGCAATAGCTAGCGAAGAGTTTATTCACCAATATCCAAGTTTATTTACAAGTAAAACTCTGATAGAACTATCTAATTCTTCGTGGTCGCGTTCTAGACGGGCTAATGAAGATGTGCAGCCTTATTTACGTGGTTGTAAGTGGTCCCCGGACGGTACTTGTTGCCTCAGCGTGGTGAACAATGATGGGGTACATGTGACTGAGTTATCGCGGGACCTCTACACCGGCTATGTCGCCCCTAACCGAATAATAGACGTCATGGATTCTGTAATTCATGTCAAAGAATGTGGATTGATATACGATTTCTGTTGGTTTCCTTTGATGAACAGTAGTGTGCCGGAGAGTTGTTGGTTAGTATCTGCTGTTATAAATAGAATCATCTAAATTTAACAAAATATCTGCGTTATTTTATACTAGCTTTTCCCCGCAGCTTCGCTCGCGTCACAAAAGGATAAAAGTAGCATAAGTGACATATGCCAATACACACAGCGACATCTATACCAATTCTTTTGTTTTCCCTCGGGAATATCAATTTTTTCCGGGATAAAAAGTACCCTATTATTTAATCCGGACTTCTAACTTTACGTCTGCAAAATTTCAAAGCAATCGGTTTAGTAGTTACGGCATTAAAGCAAGTCACTTTCTGATTTATAATATTAGTAAGGATCATATTCTTCTATTTATATCGGTGGTAATATACATCATCATCATCATCATCATCAACAGCCTATAAATGCCCACTGCTGAGCAAAGCCTCTTCTCACACGGAGAAGGTTAGAGCATTAATCACCACGCTTGCTCAATGCGGGTTGGCGATTTCAAACTTATAATTAGAAATTATAAGTCCAGGTTTCCTCACGATGTTTTTCCTTCACCGTTTGTCAGTGGTGTCTAAATAATCTTAGAAAGTACATATAACTCAAAAAAGTCACATTGGTACTTGCCGTTGGTAGGTTTTGAACCCGCACCCTCATGCATGAGAAGTGGGCGTCTTAAACCTCCGGGCCACCACGACACTACTGTAATATTCACAGCATTTAACTTTATAATTAAATTATTTACATTTTTAATTCTTATTTAACCAGTATTCTAATTTGATTTCAGTTGGTTGACAACTAGGCAGAATGCTCCAGTACAAATGTGGGATGCCTATGATGGCTCCCTGCGATGTTCATACAGGGGATTTGATGCTGTAGATCAGATGGAACCTGCTCTATCCGTGATCTTTTCAAATGATGGCAGCCAAATTATTGCTGGATATAAAAAAACTATTAGGACTTTTGATGTAGAAAGGTAATTATAAAATTATTGTTTGAACAACCTACAAATAAATAAAAATATAATTGTTAAATATAGAGAATAAATCATAAATATGATACGGTTTTTAACAATATTATCATTAAAACTACATATTGGTCAATAAAAACTGGATATATTTACTGATTTTCAAAAGTCAAACTTAAAATGTCAAATTATGAAGTTAAAGTATATGATGTAAAGCATTAATTTATCTAATTTATTATTGTGTAGACTCTGGATATTGATACCGATAAATCACTGGTTAAATTTCAGTTGGCTGTTAAAGATGATTAAGTATTTTTGAAGTCTTAGAATTTTTGACAGTCCATACTCTCTGCCTACCCCTATGGGAGACAGGCGTGAGGCTATGTATATGTGTATGTATGTATGTAAGTCTTAGAATTACATTACCTTTTTTGTGATTTACAGGCCAGGTAGAGAATTCGTAGAACATAAAATTAAAGCTCCTGCAGCTTGCATTGACACATGCAATGATCTGTTAGCCGTTGGTTCCTGGAACACCACTGTTAGCTTATACAGTGTGAATACACCAGGCAATTACAAGAGTATTGGAGTTATGCATGGGCATGGAGGTGAGATATGTCTTATTAATGACTTTTGTACAATTGGGTAATGATTTAGTGAAACATTTTGAAAATTCGAAACATCCTGTGTTGTTACTTCTGAACTTTTTTTTTTTTTAAAAAAAAACGTTGCCCCACACTAGGATTTTCTCCTGTGTCGTGGGTGCGTTTACAAACATACAAGTTCACATACACATGACACCCAGACCCGAAACAACAATTTGTAGATCACACAAAGTGTTGTTCCGTGCGGGAATCGAACCCGCGACACGTTGCACGGCAGCCGGTCGCCCCGTCACCGCACCAATTGTGCAGTCAACTTACTTTACCTTTCTCACCTCTTGATTAATGAGCCAGTATGATTGCATGCAGGGCTGTAAGGGATATTAAGCAGAATATAATAGAAGTTCACTTCCCTGGTCTTTATTTAAGACTTTTACTGCCAATAAAAATCTGTTGAAGGTAAATCCTCCGCTAACGCCGGTCACCGGTGACCCCCATGGCGTTTAACATGTTAATATTAATTTTGCTAAACTGTCTTACCAAAATGATCTAATCTAAAAACTATACAATCTATTTACAGGTGGTGTCACCCAAGTAAAGTTCACACCAGATGGCAGGTACCTCGTATCGGGCGCTCGTAAAGACAACAGATTGTTACTATGGGACATCAGATACTACCGTAGACCACTAAACATATTACCTAGAGTTGTTGAAACTAACCAAAGAGTTTACTTTGATATTTCACCTTGTGGCAAGTATTTAGTCTCTGGTGGCACCGATGGAGTACTTAAAGTGTGGGATGAGGAACAAGTGCATTGGAGATCTGCCTTGGAAGTCACTGAGCATATGGGTGATACTGCTACTTATAAGGTATGTATTTCTTTTCGCGATCAAAATGATATTTACTGCATTCGATAGGTCAGAAACTTGCATGACATGTATGTCACTACATTAATAATTAATGTTAGTTTATAGCTTTTTTCATATTTGTAGAATTTCGTAACTGTCAATCCGTGTATTCGATTTTGGTTGTTTCGAACCTAACAATGATACTCTTATTTAAAGATAGAAACCAGTGTGCATTCTGCGATCAAATATAAATTTTTAGACCAATAACTTCAATTACTGAGGTAACATTTTGTACTTATTTTCCAGTTCCCTCTCCATAAAGATTGCTGCAACAGTATTTCAATACACCCACTGCGGCCTATCCTAGCAACAGGATCAGGACAGTACCACTTAAGACGTCCAATGACGTCACCAGAACCGAAGATAAATAACCAAGACAGTACCCTACCTATAATAAAGAAAGAAAGTTCGAGTGACGAGTCTATCGCTATCAAACAATCAAATAAAAGAAAAATTGAAGAACGAGAATCTCCTGATTTAGAGATGGAATATACAGAAGACAGTGAAAATAGTTTAGTGTTCTGGTGGATTGGAGAAGTGCCAGATTTAACGTAGATTTTAAAATATAGTTTTAATATTTTGTGTGTGTTTTCCTGAAGAAGTTATCTAGTCTTTAAATAGTTTTAAGGTATAAAGCGCTGATGAAATCGTTCAAATTTAATGTTGTTTTAATTTTACACCTTAATTAATAGGTACGTATGTACTATTTACCTGCCTGCTAGAGTAGTACATTGCGGCTTCGTTCACATATAAGTACCTATGCATTTTGATTTAAAAAAAATCTCGTTAAGCATTCAAGTTTTAGTTTTAAAAGCTTATACAACTATGTAAGAGCCTGGTCAAAAAATCTCACATTAAAGTGGCACTTATTCGAAGCACTATAAATAGAAGAACGTTGAGACATAAAATAGTAGCAATCACGTACGGAAACAATCATGTCGCGCCTCCTCCCAGACAATATTCAATTTGTACATACCTAAGATGTGAACAAAGGGCCCTTTATTGATAATAGCACGTTTAAGTTAACAAGTGACAGGTACCCTTTGATATTCAAGTTGGCAACGCCTTTATTTTTAACGTTACGTACTTGTACACATAAATAGTAAAACTTAGTCATTTTATTACAAAGCGTGGGCGAAATAATCGGAAATATGAAACAACTCTTTTCAAAAAGATATTATCATGTGATTTAGGGCTGTGTTACAAATTCCTTTATGAGTTATTTGCTCGTTTGCGTGTTCCCATTGTTGGGCTTATTGGTTTAGTTATGCCAAGGGAACGGCAGTTTCAAAGGCTTTTTAATCATTTTAGAAGTTTGGTTATGTTTGTTGTTTAACAAATATTTTATTTTGAATGTAATTTTGCTCACAATAAATCCTCTCAACTTCCAATGGGTGTGATTAATTTCTTTTTACAAGTCAATGACTTTTGTATATTTGCTTTGCCCTAGGATTATGGCCGTTTATGAGGAACAGTCTGCACTGATCCAGGGTTCTCAATATTTATTTATTAGGTACGTAATAAGTACCCACTCGAGATCGTCTAGTCGAAGAATATGTACCCTGCGTCAAGTGTAAACTAAGCGTCCTAGTTGTAAGAACGTGCTAGCAATAACTAAGTAGGAGATAAGGTATCTACAGGCTGATTTTACTTTGAAAATTAGCATAGATACAATATATAAAAGTGGCCTTAACACGTGCCGATAGCTGGCTGAACGTGTTTGTTACCTCTTGCGCTCACTGGGGAGTCGGCCTCGTTACCTTATCTACTGATTACTTAATATTTTACTACCTAAGACCGTAAGCGTGTCTGTTGTCCAATAAGTCGTTTAGTTTAGTTTATAAGTGACTTTATAGACACTTGTATGCGGACGACCATATAGAATAAAAATTAAAAATATTTTAATGAAGGTAGTTGTATGTCTAAAACAGTTAAAAACAATGCTGAATTATAGAAGTACAAAGTCTCAAGTCTCTTAGTAATTATATTTAACTCGTCGAGTACCGGTTTTATAGACACAATTAAAGAACAATAGGTCGCGGTCACCGGTGACCGCTTGGTGTTTGACAGTTTAAATTACAACTTTAAACAAGATCGCAAAATAGTATCGCAATATCAAGTTATAGAAGTGTCGACGTAGACAGCCCACTAGATATAAGACATTATTCCAAGAACGTTGTCTATCTATATTATTAGGCTTTTAAACTGAGGCGGGCTTCAGAATTACCAACCATATGGTTGGTAAAGTAAGGATACTCTTAGAATTAGTCGCGGAGAACCTAACGGGTTACCGGGGCTTCGGCTCGACGTGCAGGAGAAGGAACGGGGTGGTTTTTAGTCAGTAAGAGTCTGACACTCCCTCCCGCCTCACCCAGACGGGAGCAGTCATTCGATGATTTCCCCCCATTAAAAAAAACCTTAGAATTACGTTATAAGTTGCAAGCATTTTTTTCAAGAACTGAAAACTACGTCTGTTCTTTGAGGTAGGTACATAATATTTTCCAGATCATTGGCTACTTACGATAGTATGATCGTTATATCTGATAACGATATTAATTAATTACGTTACGAATTTCTTATAGCCATTTCACAGTTTTATAGGCAAGAATAATTCTACCGAATTTTGTTCAAAAATTAGGTTAATCTCTTTATACCTGATAATAACTGAGTGGTCCTATAATATTTTCTCCCGATTATGTCAGTAGGTACCTGAAACAAGTGAATTTATTTCTGCAAATAGGCTACAAGGCAGCACTTTTACACGTCAATTTTATCAAGCGAACGATGAGGTCGACATTTCCTAACTGACTACTCTGAGAAGAAATGCCGAAACAAACTCAGAGGTCTGTCTCTTTTAAAGTCCAGACAAATATGTATAAAAAGATTGTGTGAGAACCGTGCAAGTTGTTTCTGTAGTGGCCTTTTGAGGAAAGAACCACAACAGTTCGAGCGGACCCGTTCTGAAGGCAGTACGCATGTGTCGGTTTACAGTCAGCTCAATTAACAGATGAGGCTGAGTGATTCGACGAACAATACCAACCTAAAGAACATTTGCGTGGGTCGCACAAATACTCAAACTGTCAGAGTATGAGTAAGAAATTAGAAAAGAAATGGCGAGGCAAAGTCTCGCACGGTCCTAGCACTAACAATTGTAAAAATAGAGGTAAATGTCAAATTTAAAAAAATATAAATTTTTCAAATGAAAATCAATCAATTATCACATTATGAAAAAATCAGTTATCCTTTTTTATTATAATATTTTAGTCTACACATGAATTCGTGGTGTATTTAGTTAAACAGATGTTAATGAAAATGTAACTAAGAATGTCTAAGAATTCAAATATACGCTTATCTTACTGACTAAATTACAAACAAACATTTCTGTGTGGTGTCGTAGCGTGGCGTAGGCGATATTATGTATCTACAAGCTACGTCGTAGCCGTAGCGGACAGCAAATAAGTCGGCACCGTAGTCAGCTATAACGCTACAGCGTAGCCTTCGTAGCAAAGATATTGCCTGGCAGAAGACTCACTAGATAAGAAACTGAGAATTTAATGGAAACTACTAAGTTTCTACTACAATTTATGTTAATTAGAATTGGAACAGTGTTGTATTAATAATCGTTTTTAAAATAATTTCTGATTATTTCGAAAATATAAAAACGAATAATTAATTAAGTAATTTAATGTCTTTTACATTACAAGGAAGCATAAGTTATCGAAATGTAAAATGAATAGTTGATTCGTTAGAGTACCATTAATCCCCCCTGTAATCTACTATATAAAAATAAGTCGGGTTTTCCTTCCTGACGCTATAACTCCAGAACGCACGAACCGATTTCCACGGTTTTGCATTCGTTAGAAAGCTCTCGGGCTCCGTGAGGTTTATAGCAAAGAAAATTGACTAATCACCAAACGAAATGTTACATAAAACGAAGCCATCTGGTGGCGAAACGGAGTTCGCCGGGTTTGCTAGTGCAAAATAAGTTTAATTAGAATTTATGAACCTTTTAGTGTGTTTATTTTTTTGTGACGCAGTTGTTACTAGGAGGAAGATGTGCAAAGAAATATGTCTCAAGTTACTGGCTCAGAGTGATGTTTTGTTTGCTCAGCTATACCGGTTATTTATTACTTAGATACGGTACATAGTCCAACTTTATACTGGCCGGTCAGCTAGATTGATATACTAGCCGCGTCCTTTAATGTTGTGAATATTTTCATAAGAACTTTTGGAAACGTGTGCATGTTTAGTTGTTCCTAGTATTTTGTATTTATATAACAGTTGAATAGTACCTACATCATTTTGTATTTTCTTGCGTATTCCACTTTTTATTGGCTGCACCACTGTTATGTTTATTGTCGTAAAGAGAAATTACCGGAAAAGTTGTACATGTACGTACATAATTAAAGTTATTTTGTTGATTAGTATAAATCAGGAATTAGCTAAATCTCAATTAGAGAATATGTCATGAAATGAATTACCCACGGAATAAAATTGTTAGATACAACACATTATTTACTTTTAGACGATGTCTACTAATTACCTCTAACTAGTTATTGTTTCATACTGTTTACAAAAGGTGATACAAACGTTTTTTTTAAATAAATTTATTTAGAGGAATTTTACAAAGGAGTGGCCTTAAATCTAAACTCGCCAAACTTCAACGTTTGATGGCGAGAGACGCTCATTACACAATTTCTATTATATTATAATATGTAGATAGGCACAATTGTAATCCCGGAGAACACTGGAGTATACGGTGGCGGTGTGTCCTGCGTCCGCCGTGTCCTCAGGGATGTGATGCACGATGGCGACCTTTCGCGTCCGGCTCTGGTTCAGACCATGGTACGAAGCGAGGGGGACTGGGATGCCGTCTCTGCGAAGTAGTCAGGCTATCTAAAGAGGTGGCGGAGTGCGTGAGGGAACGAACCTCCTCACGCCCCGGCCGTCGCGAGAGACACTCCGGGCGTCGGGGATCGCGAGACGATCTCCGGTCACCATAAGCACTGGCCTGCGGACGGTGAGCATGAGTGACTCGCCGCCCGACCAGAACCAGGCCCGAGCGTACGGCGTGTCGCTTCAAGGAGCTATCAGATCACCACAGATGGGGCCCAACAGGGCTGATGCCGATACGAAGCCGCGGAAGACTTAACGGGTTGCCGGGGCTCCGACTCAAAGTGCAGGAGTAGGAACGGGGTGGTTTTTAGTCAGTAAGAGTCTGATACTCCCTCTCGCCTCACGCGGGAGAAGTCATTCGATGATTTACCCCCTCAAAAAAAAGGCTTAATGGTCATTTTTTTTCTAACAAATTCACTATGACTTAAGCAGGACATAGCATAGCATTTGTTATAATAGCAGTACTACCTACTCTTATTATATTGAATTAAATAATTGTTGTTCTCTTACATTGTCGCATTTTAGAAATGTGTGCGTGCAATGTTTGCGTGGCAGTTTTAGTATTTACGAGATTGCATACGAACACACTCTTCGTTCCTCGTGTCGTATTCGTATCGTCTCGTGTTATGTAAATTATCAATGTACATGTACCTATGTAT